TTCTGACCTGTCTTCAGGAATCTGAAGAGGGACACAGGCATGGCAAAGAAAACTCGGAGAATGAATGGAATTTAACTTTGCTTCGAGTATAAGAAAATTCATTTTGAAAATTTGTGTATTGGAACTGAAACTGGAACATGATACTTGGGTTCCAACACATCTTCAGAGAGAACATCTTTAAGGATTTGCTGAAAGTGCTTTGTATTTTGGTATAGCACATCCATAATTCATTTAATTTAGTCAGGTTTCTGGAAGTGAGTCAGATGATGATTCAATTATTTTCAGCACAAACAGCCTCTGAAGTGTCATCATCGGTATTATCAACAGAAGTGCTCATAAACTGATGCCACTGTTTTCCCACATATCTTGGAAGTGGTACGGCAGTTTGAAACTGTAATACCTTTGCCCATGTGTGGTGGGTTGACCTTGGCTGGACGCCAGGTGCCACCAAGATGCTTAGCAGGGCAGGGAGGGGAGAAAACAAGATGGAAAAAAAACCCACAACCCAAAAAACTCGTGGGTCAAGATAATGGCAGTTTGATAAAGCAAAAAAGGCCGCGTGTGGAAGCAAAGGAAAACAAAAGACTTATTCTCTATTTCCCATCAGCAGGCAATGCCCAGCCACTTCCCGGGAAGCAGGGATTCAGTACGCATAGCAGTTGCTCCAGAAGACAAACGCCGTAATAACGAACGCCTCCACTTCCTCCTCCTTTCTCTTAGCTTTTGCTGCTGAGCAGACGTCGTATGGTATGGAATATCCCTTTGGTCAGTTTGGGTCAGCTGTCCTGGCTATGTCCCCTCCCAAGATCTTGCCCACCCCCAGCCTACTGGGGAGGGGGGGCTGTTGGAGGCAGCCTTGGTGCTGTGCCAGCACTGCTCGGTGGTAGCCAAAGCACTGGTGCGTTACCAACACCCATCTAGCTACCGATAGGAAGCGCAGCACTATGAAGGCTGCTGTGGGGAAAATTAACTCCATCTCAGCCAGACCCCGTACACCATGGCTATGATTGTAGCCCAGGTCTCTGACGTACCATAGAATCTATCGAAAGCCATTCCTGATGTCGACACGCCTTTTAATTGAGGAAAGAGGGCTTTCTGAAGCACTGTCTGTAGGTGTGGATTGTGAGGATGTTATTGTATAAAGTCTTCTGAGGAAAACTTCAGAGATGGGCATGGTGGTAGCAGTGAAGGAAACTCAATTATTCGTACTGTATTATGACTTAAAAGAAATTCGGTCTTTCCAAAAGTAGAACATCAGGAGAGTGAAAAAAGGGGTGGAAAAAACGCCTTTGTGATACAATCCATCAAACTCACAGCTGGGAAGATTTGACAGGATTGTGGGCTCCAAGTGAGTAAAATAGGAGACCTTTCAGAAAGTTCAAGTAGCCTGGAAATCACCTTAAACGCTATTTAAATTCACCTGTAAAAGAAACTAGGTTACTACAATGCGTGAATATGTTTTTTCCGATGTACTTTAGCCTACATAAACATTTAAGCAAAATTCTTAAAACATTTTTACTGGTTATTGGACATGTGGCTAGCAAAATTGCTCAGTTACCCCGTTCTGAAATATCCAGTATATCTGCAAAGCATTTTGAGGGGATACAGTAGAGAGAAGTCTTGGGTTAATTCACTGCAGGGTTCCTTGTGAACGTTTCATGTGTTCTGACAATTCGGAGTATGTTTGTTTTGGTAGCAAGTTAGTAAGAAAACAAAAATGGACAAAAACTTTCAAATATGTTTGGCCTCAGCTCTATGAAACAAAAATGTGTGATGCCATGTAATGAGGAAGGGCCTAAACTGAAAGCAGTTGGTGTATGGGAGAACATCAGAGAGAGATGCTGCACGTGCTTAGCATGGTCCTAACGCGGCATCGGTACCCCTGCGGGCACTTAGAGGCAGGGTTGGACTTCCAGTGGTGATGTTCTTATGATTGCAGGTCACACAAAGCTCCCAAGATGTTTCACATGACCCAGTGTCCCAAAGGGAGCTTTAAATGACATTTTAACAAGTCTGATCACACTAGCCATAAACCCAAATCTGCACATAGCCAAAAGCCGGTGTACTGTGTATCTCAAACAGTCAGGAGATCCATGGGATTAGTTCACAGGCAGGAGGTGAGACTAGATCACTAAAGGTATCCTCAGCTCTGTAGCAGCGTGGGGAAGATCTTCATCCGCAGCCATGTCCTAGGCAGTCCACCAGCTGGTGGACCTCAACAGTTGCTCTTTTCTGCCATTTCAGGGGCTCAGATTATCGGGCAGTTCCTACTGCCAGAGCATCCCTGCTGCTGGTCAGCTGAAGTTCTGGGGGTTGAACTGCTAGCAAACCCTGTGCAGTTCAAACACTGCAGGTTGGCTGTTCCCGACTTAAATATTAACAGATTCATTAGTAAGGTCAAGAACGACTTGCAAACAAGTCACTGAACTCTTTGGTGCCTGAATTGCAACCCTCGCCTACTAATTAGTTGTTACAAACAATAGGGATAAACATGAGCTGTCTAATTTTAAGTGTGAGAACGCCAACCCACTGGACGGTAAAAGGGGAGGATGGGGTGGTAGGCACGGTGAATAGCTGTGAGACAAAAGCCGTAAGTATCTGAGCCACAGTATTGCTGGAAGAATCTTTGAGAGAGGATCCTCTCTGGAGCACAGTGTGACCTGGATTATGCGTCCTCAGCAGATCTCTCAGCTCAAAGGTAAATAGTAAACGATAAATTCCCACTGGCCTTGCCTTCTGCACCTGCAGCAGTTTCACATGTTGAACCAGGCAAATGCAGGAGGGGTTGGCATGGGCTGGTTTGTCAAATTTTGCATGTTCCCCTCAGTTTTGGTTGTGAATACAGCCTTTTCCCCCCCGGCTTGTTGAATGCAATGCTGGAGCTTTCAGTTCAAACAGACCTACACGGTTATATGAAAAAAGCCAACTTTCGCTCAGCTTCCATGTCAAACCACTCATTTTGCAAGCCAGGCCTGCCAGGAGTTTGTCTCTGTTTAAGGGGCATTTCTCAAACTCTGGTTCCTGGGCTGATTCCTGGACAGCCAAGGAAGGTAGATATATTCCAATGCCACGCAATTTTACCGCAGCTCTGCTGAGTCATGATGATTCGGTATAGAAACCTTTTTAGAAGAGGATTTAAAAATATGCTTTTATGGTTTCCCTAATAAAAGGTTTCTAAAAGAAGGTGTATTACCTTTAGTAGCCAAAGGCAATCAAGTTGTGGTTTTTATTTAAAAAAAGAAATCTAAAATAGAATATAGTATCAGTTAAATGTTCCGTCTCTTTGACGGCACAAAATGCTATGAAATATTGACCAGCTCTTTGCTTGATTGTGTGCTGGTTTGTTTCAAATGAAGCATGTTGTTCAAATATTAATTTTGGGTAAAAAAATAGTTTTTCAGTTAGTCTGTGCTTGCATGGAGAATGAAATGATATAGAGAGCTGTGTGTGTTCTCCCCAAAAGCTTGGATGATTTATTTTGTGAGTGCAAATGTATTTTAAATATAAACTAGAGAGAGTAAGAGGTTGTGGGTGGCTCTTTTTCTATTATTTTCACATTACCTGTAAGAAATTTTTTTATAAAAGTCAAGAATAGCCTATCATTTAATCAGTTATAAAAGGTTAATGTAACCCTATATAACATTCTTTCTTGGTAAGAAAAGATTTTTCATTTTTACTTAAAAAGATTATTTCCATACCTCAGGAAAAAAGCAAGATAAACATGGAATAAATACATTCCAAACTTCCCCCCCCCCCTCAAAGTACAAATAGAAATATTTTGAGCAATTTATAAAAAATTAGCACATTTTAGAAGGGAGAAAAAGATAATATACTGATTTTCTTAAATATGTGAGGCTTTAATTTTTCTTGTTGTTTTACTTATCCCTCTCTCTGGAAGTATCATCTTTCTTGGTTTTGCTGAAGTAGTTGTTTATAATGTTTTTATCACACGTAGAAGGTTGCGTTAGTTAGATTGGTATAAAAAGTACCTATTTTTTTTCTCCAGATTGTTTGTTACTGAAGCTGTAAATGGGTTCCATAGAGTTGCCAATAGGTTATTAAAAGGAGACCCCTCAGTTCAATTTTATTCTACTGTGGCTTTTGTCATGTTTGTATTTTACTGGCTTTCCACTCACCATAAAATATTCTAGGTGAAACAAAACATAACTTTCAATCATCTCAAACATTTTCCCCCAGAATGCCCCCCAAGCCCCAAAGTAACGACCTGTAAACCTTTTTTTTTAATTCTCTGTTTTCTTGATGAGCCTTTAAAATCTCCAGTAAATTAAACCACTTTTTGTTTAGTCCCTTTGCCCATGGATTTAGAGCAGCCGTATAACTAGGTTGTTCGTGACACACTCTCCTCCTTGGCATCGGTATCTAGTTTAGCAGTAACACACGAGCATCTCTCGCTGCTTGTTGCTAATCAAACCCACACGGGATGGCGTAATAAGCTTTGTATCAATTCAGGGGTTTGATGATAACATTTTATTGTCAGTATGATCATACTCGTGGTGACAGGAACAGCTAAGTAATCAGCTAAACGAGGTAGCTGCTACCTTTGCTTGGGACCTGCTGTCTGTCTTTGGCTAAGAAATGGCAGCAGGTCCCAAGCACGGGGACTAAGCACGAATGCAGGCTTTCTCAAAGATGCAGTGTGGTAACGTACGCATCGTCATCATCTACCCTCTGTCCTAAAAGTAACATTTAGATTTGAGACTTCTAAGGAAAAGCGATTGACCTTCTCAACATGCCTATTAAAAACACCCCACTCTATGTCCTTCCAAGGAGGAAAGCTGTGTGTGAAGGAATCGTGTACCTCCGTTAAACTTTTGATAACAGAAAATGTTTGGATACCTCTCTTCTGAGAATGTTCAAACCTTTTATGTAGAAGGCAGGGGGGAGGGAAGATCTATACAGCAGGGCAGCTATGATATGAAGGGTCACTCTCATAAATTAATTGCTGTGCTTATTTACTTTTTAACTGGTTTTTTTTCCAGGTCCTCCCATTATTCTATGGGCAGTCGAGCTTTTTCCCATGACAGTATTTTTATACCTGATGGGAGAACAGAGAGTGAACAGGCCATCCAAGCAATGTCACAGGAGAACGTTTTAGGAAAAGTCAAAACTCTTCAGGTAAGAAATTGTAAGTGGGAAAAATATTTAAAATGTGGTAGAAAATGGTCTCCAGAATGTGTTAAATGTGGATAAAGGTGATGAAGGCTTTTTCAATAGCCTTGGGGCAGTTTCTCAGCCATGTAAGCTGTCTGGCCAAAAGCTATGTAAATAATTCGGGTAATCTGCAGCAGATCTAGGTTTTGGTCTTGAAAGGTACGGCAGTGATGCTGCAAGCAAATCTGCAGAAATGTCTGCATCTTGTGGAACTCATCTGAATTGAACTCATGGTTTTGGCATACCCTGATCTGTATGCCTGAGTCCTACAGATGCCATACTGAGGGAAAAAATGAGGGTGGTGTTGGTGGCTGGGAATGGCATGCAGAGTGAGACTTCTTTGCAAAGCTGATTTAATTAACCTTTTGAACGTATTACATTTTTTTTCTCCTTTTTCTCCTTGTCCTTTCAATGGTTCTCATGAAAGGTGGATGTGTTTATCTCTCCAAAGCAAACAGCACATAAGTAACTACATAAACACACATTTGGGTATTTGCTTCTAAAAAGCTTTACATGACCTGCTTTTCCTTCGTCTCCAGAACTCTGTCCCATTAGTGCTCTAACTAATTTTTTGCTTTACTTCCTGTACACCTGTAAGATTCCCAGCTCTATGTCTATCTAGAGCTGTCCTTCAGAAGCACGTTTCAGTTTATAGCTCAGGATGCTGACGTGTCCTGTCAAAATGCTGGTAAATTTTTAATGCTGTGTAGGTGCCATTACCCTGTAGCTGGCTAGTAAAATACCATTGATTTCTTTCACCTCCGAAGTCTACCCGCGGTCCATCTTTTCTGGTGAGTGAGAGATCACGCACAGCAGACAGATCCGACATTCAGGATGAAATTGTTCCTTCTTCCTGCACGGCGCTGTCAGCAGACAGAGCACCTGAACGGCGTTGGCTGTGCTGACTGTGGATGAACTTTGAAGTGGAAACCACACTAGGACAGCTCCAATTTCTCTGTGCTGTTTTTTCAGCTTAAATTTCCCTGGGTCAGGTAGATTCAATGCATGCTGCTTTCCAGGCTAGAAACCATTATATTTTAAATGACTGCTAACTGTGGGCAAAGATGTGAAGTAGTTGGACCTTGGATGCTTGAGTGTCCCTTGGATACAAAGCTCACTGACTTCTGCAGGGAGCTGTGCCCTCCCTATCTCCTGGATCTCCTGTCTTGGCTTCAGTACCTTAGCTTTTCTCTGAATACCTTTTCACTTTGTAGGGGTGGCTTCTCCCATTTCCAAACTCACCTTAAAATTTCCAGTGGAAATTATTGCCTTCACTAAACTCAGAGACATGATAAAAAGTACAGTTACTGCAGTTGCTAACAACCATCTTCACTAAGCAAATAGTAAGTCAAGAAAATTAAAGCAAAAATTATCACCCTTGAAAGTCACGAAATAGCTAGTCAGTGATGTGCTCTTGCTCGTGTGAACTTGGCGTGAGCCTTTTTTTGGTGTGGTTACTTGCATGTATTTTAAGGGGGAGCGTTGTTTCAACTGCTTGATGTCAAAAGTGTGCTTACCTTTTTATTTAGAATTGAAGGACAGTGGTTCATTTTTATCATTTTAATATAGCTGCAACCCAGACTGTAACAACATCCCCGGTTCAGCTTCTCCCACTCTACTGATGATATCCAGAGCAACCCATTCAATCGGAAAGCAAATGCATAATAGATTGTAAATGACACTTTTAACTATTTACATATTTACACAGAAGTTATATATTCATCTAAATGTCCATGGATTTTTTTCATAACCCCATGGAAAGGCTCCTTATAACAAGCCCAGGGGCCACCTCTTGTATCTGCAAAACCTGCTGCCCAGCACATAACTGTCCCCGTTTCCCTAGCCATGATTTCTGCAACTGTTCCCTCAGTTTTAGGACAAGATCATGCCAAAATCCCATTGCACATTTTCAGGCTGACCTTAGAATTGAGTCCCAGATCTGACCAGTTATTTGGACTATCGTTCCTGTCCGAAGGTTTTATGCATTTCATACCCCATCCTTCTTTTCTGCTGTAGTATTCTAAAAGGAGACTGTGTTTGCTGCGTGATTTTGCAGTCACAGAAAACACTGATACTCGGTCTCCAGTTATCAGAAGCTTGTACCTACTTTGAATTCCCGTTCTGCAAGCTCACTCCCACTGGGAATGTCTGCATTTCTTCAAGTGCTGGAACAAGAGGAGACAGTCATCTCTTCTGAAGAGCACTCTGCTCCTTAAAACCAGCTCCTGGTAAGGTCATTGCTACGCCACCAACGTTACTGTGGTTTTGCCCAGGCTTGTATGTCACGGTGGAAGCACAGCATTTCCAGTTTCCATTTGCCTGGCAAGATGCCCCTCGGTAAAGAAGTGTTGCCAGGATTCAGTGCCCTGTGCTGGCTCTGAACTCGCTGTATTCCAAACAGAGATCAAAAGCTCTGCAGACTTTAACCTTTTTCAGGATTTTTTTGGGCGTGGTACAGTGAACATTCCTGGAAAACTCAAATCTTTTCTGGAAGAGGCACTGTGCTTACAAGCCCAACTGATAGCATGGTGAAAAGGGTTTTGAAATCAGAATGGAAATGCAAGCCATTTAATACTGATGGTGCTGGATCTCATTCTGCTGACCACCAAAGTGTTTCCCCCTTCTCGCCTTGCATTTCTGCTGGCTTTGGAGTGTTGATGAACCCACAAAAAATGTTGTGTAATGGTGCAAAACTTTGTAGCAGCCTGGGCAGCTGCCAGCGTATGCACTGGTTCAGCTTCTTATTGTAGGAATTCTCTCTTTCTGATTATGCGTGCGAGGTAAATTAGTTCCTTCTAGAATAGATCTCATTTCTTTTTATTGATTTTCAGATTGGCAGCATTCATCTTATCAGGCTTTCTATAAATGGATTTGGTCATGTTCAAAGGTTTTAGCGTGTGCTAGAAATCAGGCTGAGAAAAGCCTGACTTCTTGTTAACCTCCAATAGCCCTTGTGTATCTTGAAGTTATTTTGTGTTGGCTCAAGCCATCTGCTGTTGTAAAAGCAGTCTTTTCCTTGTCCTTTGGATCTGCTGAGATTTATCATTATCTAGTTTTGAAGATGCAGTGTAGAAAGCCAGCCTGAACCTGCTCCCACGAAGAGATGGTACCCAGGTACTGGTACTCTTAATGCTGAACTCATTTAGTTCCTTGGGATCTGGTGCTTTACTTTTCATACAGAACTGTGAATGAGACACAAGGAATGTTTAACATCTAAATCTAGCCGTGTGTCAGAACAAACCTAGAAGAAACTTTCATAAGTTAGTGGGTTTTTTTTCCTTGCATCAAAGTGTGTTAGATCCACTTCCTCGCATTTTGCAGCTGTGTCTCTTCTTCCTACTACTGACATTTGCCAGAAACGGTCAGCAAATGAAGAGAAGACAGTTTTTGTTTCAGACCCACAAAAACTGTAGCAAGTAAAATGGAAAATTGTTTTGAGCGTTAGTATCTTGATGCATCTAAGCCATTATCTCCGTTTTGCTGTGACAGTACCGTGGTGTGGCACTGTGGAGGCAGGAGAACAGCTTCATCTCCACCTCTTGCCTTCACTGAAAGTATCTCGGGGCATCTGGCAACCATGAAGCTGTGGCAGTCAGCTGCAAGAAATACTAAAGGTTGATATGGCATATGGCTTATTGCATTTAGGAACTACTGGGCTACATCTTTTCTGTTTCATGTGGCCACGAGATTTAAAATAAACAAACCCTCTGCTCTGTAAATTTGTAAAACAGCCATTTATTACACAGATACTAATTATGATAAAACATGTCTTGAGAATCCAGACTTCTTGGTCAAATTCTAAAGGACCACTTTTTAAATTCACATTTCCCTGGCTTTGTAATGATGAATGTCCCCAATAATTTTCTTCCTGTCAGACCTAATGACTGTTCAGTTTTGGATGCCATTTCTTTTAGTCATTAACATATCTTAGCTAATGACCAAGCCGGTGCTTCCCCTACTGTGCGTTGCACATCTGTATTCTAGCAGCCATTCCCATTGTTGTTTCTGTTTGATATGGCCCAGATCTCAACAAGGCTACGAAGTTGTTTGCTAAATCTCAAAGCTATTATCTTTTAACTTGATGCTCTGCATTTTATAGAATTGGGAGTGAATTTTCACTGCATGATTGCCCAGCTTTGTGTTTCTTACAATTCATTTCTTTGTAGCCAATATTTTCTAGTGCCACTGCAGCCTAATTGTTTTCTTCTCATTTGACAATTGTTTTCACTTTATAAACTGAATTTATCATTTTTTCTTAACCATTCTAGCATTTCTGGGGCAGACCCCCTTTTTCCTATGATCATATTAAGCCCTGGAAATAAGCTTCCATTTTCCTTACTCACATCTGCTTTGCTTTTGGTACTCTGCAAGGAGACACTCAGATGACAAATCCCACAGATCCTGTAAGTATCTTCAGGCTTCTCCAGAAAGTCTGGCTGTTAACACATGAGCATCTGTAAGTGGTCCATTGCCACTGTATACCAAAATCTTCTTTTGCATCTGGATTTGCTGCAAATACATATGTCTAGAGATCCATATACAGTTTGCTTCTTCACCATTCTTCTATTTTCGACTCTCCCAAAATCTTTCTTGAGGTGTAATGCCCCAAACCACGTGCTGCTCCAGCAATGGAGAGTGGAATAGTTCCCTCCCTGCATCTTATATCCAAAACACCTGTGGTCATACTTCTTATTTTCCTCCTTTTCAGTAGGTTTACATGTTAATTTTACAGCTAGTTTACTTTCTAAAGCCTCCAGCTATACCAATATAACTTCTCACACGATGCTTTCCAGTTTATTCTCTCTCTTTGATTAAAAAAAAAAAAAATTGCTTATGTGGGGTGTTTTGCTTGTTTAGATATGCTGCAGATTTTCCTGTTTGGATAAAGAAGTTGACTCACTTCCATAGAAAGAACAGTTAGGTAAACTGTCTTTTCAGCCTAGAAAAGAAATGATAAGAGAGAGAAAATGATAGAGATGCATGAAATCACGAGTGGAATTGAGAAAATGAATAGAGGACAATTACTCAGGACAATTACTCAGTCTTTCACAGCATGAGAACACATGAGCATCAGTTGAAACTAGTAACACTTTCAAACCAAAACAAATATACTTCTTTATGCATAGTTGGTCTGTAGAACTCATTGTCATACAGCGCTGTTATTTGTGAAATATTTATAAAAGTTCAAAGAGCAATGAAACAAATTCATGAAAGAAAAGTTCCCAGCTGGCTGTTGACTCCAAAAGTCCCCAGATGCCACAAATCATTGGAGCATTTACAAGGAAAATCTCAGTATGGGCTCGCCCTGTTCTTACTTATTCCCAAGGCATTTGATTTTTGGGTCACTGTGAGAGACTGTACAGGACCAAGTGGAACTTCAACAGTATGGCTCTTCTTAGGACAAGTATTATTGATTAAGTAATTATTTCACAATTATATGTGTGAAAACATAATTTCATTTATTTATGTATCTGGGCATTGCAAACAGACATGAAAAATAGGTATTTGAGTTGAAGGCAAAATATGACCAGCATTTCTTGTAAGACTCGTTTGAATGGAATCAGCTGAAATAGCACACTCTGGTTTAATGATTTTTAACTGAACAGAGTAAGCAGCTCAGTGGATCCGGTTTTGGATTCACTCCAGGCATGGAGCCGTAAGAATGATGTGGTTTCAGGGGGCTGAATCCAGCATGCACGCAAGCAGGGGTGTACACAGAAGGGGAGCCAAATTGGAGCGAAAGAGGAGATGTACAGCCCGATCTGGGCTCTCTGCCGGTTAATATGGAAAGTTTGTTCTGTGGCATTTCCTATGCAAACACAAAGAGTGCTTTGAAAGTCTAAGCTTTTTAATTTGCTGCAGGTGCCAACCAATGCAGAGCAATTTAACTTAGGAGTTTTATTTCTGAAGTTATTAATGGTAAGCTGGTGTAAAGATGTCAGTTAAATAGTATCACATTTTAGCAAATTATTTTGCATTAAATAAAAGTGGGCCTGTGTCATGGTCCAGCTACTGAGGAAGATTATAAAAACTGGATGAGTACAAACTTAATTTTTTTTCTAAATTCCCAGTATTTTTTTGCCTTTATTAGATGTGCAGCCCTGCCCCTTACCTCACGCTGAATGGCACCGCACCGGTAGCCACCCGGGTTGGGTGTGAGTAGGCAAACTCCCATGCACCTCTTGAATCTCACAGAAAAAATGCGGGGATGAGGTAAACCTGGTCTGGAACACAGCTTGATGATCCCCTTCTGAAGCTCCCCTGTGTGTGTGGTCCCTCCAGCTGCTGTTTCATGGTATAATTGTCAGACGTGGTAGCCGTGCTGTTTTGGTGCTGAGAATGATTTGTAAGTCCTGTGGAAATACCTGTCCACTGGCTGCAAACTGAGGGACTGGGAAAGCCCACTGGAGTTGATAAGGCTGGAAGTGGAAGGTGCAGGCAGGAAACGTTCATCTCTTCCCTTCTGCTTCTAGCTGACAGCTAGCTTTTGGAGCAGGACGGTGATTTCTGGCTGCTAAATTACAAGCCTTCTTGCACAAACCAAAAGAGACCAGGTTCATTTAACTGGTACCAATATGCATCCATGGAGATGTCCAAAAGGGTATTTAAACACTCTGTGCATGACTGTAGAAGAACAAAATGTCATGCCTGCAACTTCTAATGACCATAGTTGCAAATAATCCTCCTTAGGCAACCATCATCCACATGCTGTCAGCATAAGGAATTCTCAAGTACAGAGGATTTACAGTTTTGTGTTCAGAAATATATGTCTAACTGAAACTTTTGAGACTTTTAAAGCAGATGCTCCTTTTCAAGGAATATGGCCTCTTCTCAATGGCCTTGCAACTTAAATTGATGTATTTCTCCATCTCTGGGTTAGACTGCGTGTGTTCTTCCAAGTAAAAGTTGTGGGTTTTTTCTTTTCTTTCAGGGATGATGCATTTTTAGGGTTTTTATGATTGACCAGGTAGAGAATGTATCTGTATGAATTTTCTTGAGAGAGGATAATTGCATTGTAGTTACAGCACATTTTTAAAAAGAACAAGGAGCAGGTTTTACATTGCTCTTTGAAAGCAATAAGAATAAATTTGCTCAGTGGTAACAATAAGCTATGTGAGATTTTTACATTTGGTATTCAGCATCAGCTTTGGAGATTAGAATGCACTGAAAGAAATTGGCCAATGGAAAACTATTAGTGGCGTTCACTTAAGCTAATTTTTTAAAAAAAATTTCAATAAATAAATAATACAGGAAAGAGTCTTCTGTCCCAGGGGAATGTGAGGGCTACTAGAGTTTCTGCTTCAGCAGTGAAACTAATTCATGCAAGTCTGAGCAAATAAACTTCTAAAACTTTGAAGTAATTTAAAAAAAACCCTGTCTACAGTCCATAAATATTGAGGATACTCTAATTCCTGGAAATATCAGGAAAATAACATTTTAAACTTTTATATACACAAATACACTTTTTTACAGCAGAGCCTTCAAGCATCCTTGATGACAATTAAAAAGGCCATTCTTTTTAAAGCACACTCCATCCTCCACGGTAGCTTCATCACCACACAACTCCCACTGTGCATTGCACCCACAGTAGATCAAGAACTTGATCAGTAGATCAAGAGAATAACACACCATCCCTATCTCCACAACACACTGCAAGCAGTATGTACATGCGTGCATGTTCTTACCATGGAACAGATGCACAAATCCTTAGTTTCTTGGGTAGCTGCTCAGGTAATGCTGACAGTTCCAGTTTTCTGCCCGGGAGAACTATTTGTCTAGGAATATGGCTTTTGTAAGAAGAAAGGAGCAGCCTCAACTTAGAAAACACGTTACCAAATTAAGAAGCTGTTCTGAAGTCATTTTCTACTAGCATCAGAGGACCTGCAGGAATAGAGCAGAATTGCAGCCTTCATACTCTCTACTACAGACCTGTTTGCTCTCTCCAACTCGCATTTATGCAGTGGAAACATATAAGATTTCAAGTCAGAGAGTTGCACTGCTAACACGAAAGCTTGGGAGGACTTGGTGAAACCCTTGCCGTTAGACTGTGGGTGCACTGCCAGTAGTCTAGGCGGGAATAAAACTCTGCCATTCAAAACTGCCCACTGTGCCAAAATGATGTACTAGATGAATTTCTGCCAAAAATTCCTTTCTGCCAAAATCCAAATGGGCATAAATAATGTGTAACTCAATGAGGAGACTGAGAAAAACTATTCTAATTTAATAACCTGATTATGAGGAGTCTCTGCATGTCCTTTTTGTCCTAATAGTTCAATACAGAAATCTGGTAATGTTTTGGGGTAATATGGATAAAGTTTATATGAGAGTCTAGTCCATGGGGCAACGGTGGCAAGCAAGACTGATCGGACCTGAATCCTTTTAGAGGTCCATCTGCTGCTACTAAAGCATATCTTCCCTTGCCAACTGCTCACCTAAGCCATGCTACTGATTCTGTGCTATAGGAAAAAAAGAAATCTTTGTTTTACATGCTATCTACTCCGATCTTCTGCAGTTCTCAGCGGCAAACTCGTGTCAGGGGTCCATCTACGTACCTGACATTCCCACTGAATAGAAGCTGCACAGCTGAATTGAGTGTTGCTGAGCTGTAGGTGTTCATAGTAACACAAGACAGAAATGGGAGCTCTCCTTTGGAGAATTTTCTGTGCTTGAAAGAGAGTAAAGCAGGAAAATAACCCCACGGTTCCTTTCTAACTGAGAATGATTCCCTGAAATATTTCAGGAAAAAAATCTATCAATAAATGTTTCTTACTTAATTTGCTCCTTCTGGAGAATTTCTTGTAACTCTTTTGCAAAAAGTTCACTTTCAAAGACTGTATGGTATGTGTCCCTGCAGTATCCAGGGCTGTAATTTCTCCAATTCACCTACCAGAGGACGGATATTATATCCTACTTATTTTACTCATCTTACGCTTGATATAATTCAAGAGTACTTTCTTGTGACTCTTGAGAGAAGATTACTTCCACAAGGAAACGTAAATGGTGGGAAAGCTCTTTTATCCGTTCGCCTACTGCATGTCCCCTGCGTAAACTTCTTTGTGCAAAAGCCGTGACGTGGCAGTGCACGTGAGCATGAGCAGACATGAGTTTGTGCGCTGTTCCTATGAGATCAAGCATCTAAAAGAAGCTGGGTTTCCCCTCCTTTGAGAATTTGCCTCCTCTATGCCAACTCCTTAACATGTAAAACTTACGACTAAACCTTACAATTAGGGTAAGTTCTTTAAGAACTACAGATGCATGAGATGCAGGGTTTGGGGGCTGGAGAAGAAAAAGGTTGCATTTTGGGGTTGTTTTAGCTTCTCAGTGTACACTTGGCTCATGATCTTATTTCTTTGCAACAGTAAGGCTTCACATAATTAGCTTGTATAAACAAAGTCTTAATCTAGGACATAGATTAAAAAAAGAGAAGGAATGTTTCAAAATTCACAATAAGTTTTCAAAAGTTCACGACACTGATGAGAACTCAAGTTGATCATCCAAAATCAGAAGTCATGCAGTAAATTCCTGACCTTGGTCACTTTGCGGGGAGAAAGAAGAGGGGGTGGCCACTGTGTTGCAGCAATGTGAGCCTCAAGTTGATCTTTTCGTCCGGGGTCAGAAGTCGCCATGAGTGTTTCTGTGCAGCTTTCACGTGGAGAAGGGGTGCGTGCTAGACTTGGCTTGTTTTGCTCATAATATAAATACCTTTTTTTTCTTTTCTTGTTTTTCAGCAACAGTTGGCCAAGAATATAAAATTTGGGCAGCCTCCACAAATGACAGTTTCTGTGAGGACAATGGGTGAGGCAAACGCTAGTATAGAAGAGGATGTGTTGCTCAGTAGCCCCATGGAGATTGAGACTCAGCAGGACACAGTGATCTCAGACAGTGGTAATAAAGTAAGCACTTGAAATCGACGTGTTCATGGCGTTATAGGGGTATTAAACCAGTAAAGTTCACTGGGGCGTAACAGATGTCTCCAGTGAGGCGTAGCTGAGCTCAGCGGGCTGTTTTATGTGGGTGGGATCTCAGCTCGTGCTTCTTGGACTGGTGAGAAGCGTGTGCTCTTGGCATCCTGAGCCAGGTCCCACAGAATTACCGGTTTGAACGTCTGCTCTGAACTTCCAGCAATGCAGACATCACTTGCAGTGTAGCTAGAAGACAGAAGAATTTTCTGAGACAGAAAATGTCTTGAAATATGGACTTCCCAGCATGGAAAGTTGTGCACAGCATCAAATGGCAAGAAGGAAGATCATTCCAAAATGAGAGTGGCCTGGAGCCTAAATCCGTAGAATCCTGGGTCTTGGAGTAAATATACATATTTCTTGTGGACAGGAACTGAAGGCAAAGAAGGGGGAGAAGCATTTTGAGAATGCTCCCTAAATCCAAATGTCCAGTATAATTCAAATAATTATTCAAATTATCCATGGAGATTCTGATTCTGATACCGGGAACTGTAGGCATTCAGGTGTCCAGAAAGGGCTTGTTCGGGCAGTGAAGAAACACGGCAAGTGATGGAAGCTCTCTGGAAATCCTCTAAGGCAAGACCGGTTCTGTGTGTTGCTGTAGGGAGCTGCAGGGAGCATGGGGGACAGCGGGACACCCTTCCCTGCCCGGAGGAGGCTGACTTTGGGCCTTGGGAACCCTTGGGGAAGGCACACAGCAACCCACCACGTGCATGCACCCTGGAGGGACACCAGGGCATGGGCTTCAGCTCGTGTTCACTAGTGCTAGTGCTAGCTCTGTGGAAGGCAAAGGCAGTAAGCGTCCTCCGCAGCTCATGCCTATATTTAGCCAAACACACAGAAGGGAGATTTATGGCTGAGGTGGCCCAAATCCCTCATCAGTCTTCAAGGGGCAACATAGCTCCTCTGTGACCACTTCCTTCGCAGCTGTGGTCGGATCTGTCAGGGAGCCAGGCGTCTGGGTTGGACCTGCACACTCACACCTCTCCCTCTGCAGTCTGGAAGGATAAAAATGTAGTCGAAGTAAGGTATATTTCTTGTGCTTCACAAATACTCCCTTTTGAAGCAATCGCTTAAGGTGAATCAAGAGCAGCCTGCGTGCACAAGTGCAGTGGGATTGTGGACAGGTTTTGGCTACGTACCCTGGTACTAGGCGAGACTCTGTGTTTGATACCAATGTGCATTCTCTGCAGACAGCCTTCTTGCTGGGTCCTGCAGGAGCACCTAGTGACCTCCAGCTCGAAGGAGAAAATAATTCAAGCACTGAAAAACCAGAAGAGTATCTTCGTGTATAAGGAGGGAGAGATTCAGTTCTTAGAACCTACTCTTTTAAATACTGTGTTTTGAAAACAAAATTAATGCCCCTTTGCGTAGTTCTTTTTCCAAATACTGAAGGAGCGAACATCCCTACTCAGAGGAGACTGCAGACACCAACAAACCAACGCTACATGCACAGGGTCAGCCAGAGCACTCGCTACTTTCCTTTTCTCTTACTGTGCGCTACTCATTACCTGCTTTGTCAGAGATTTCTGGTGCACGGCAGCTTGCCTGGTTTCTGCTCCTGTCTCTGCTGCTGGCCTTGTAACTCCTCTGCGTGTTTATCTGCATAGGTCCTGGGGGGACGGGGTGGCTTCTGTCAGGAGTTGGTGGCCAGGACCACATGGTGCTGCTCTACTTCAAACAGGTTTCCGGCGTTGCTTTGTGACTTTTGATTTTCCCGACTGAGTAACTTGGATCGATGGCAAGATTTCTGCGTTTCTTTTAACCTCTATTTGTAAAGCTGATTTTTTAGGCTTTATACTAATAATCATGTGCACCTGGTGTAATGGGATCCCAACATTCATTAGGTTATGAAGTAATACTGTGATATAATGATTAAAAACAATATTCCTGTGTGTGATGAATGCTGTTTCAACCCCAGCGCCTTAAAAATCCCCTCCTGTGAGATGGCTAGGAGAGGGACGGTAGCTAAGGAGTCCTAGTGACTGACAGATAGGCTCCCATTGCTCTGGGTGAGCCGGTTTGCTTTGCAAGAAGAGGAGTCATCAAGAATCTGGAGTTGAAACTCTCTGCAGCAGAGGTAATGCCTCATCAGGTTCCTTTTTTTTTTCCTTAGGTGTAGGTCAGGAGAAAATAAAGTTATTAAGCGCTGATTGAAATCCTACAAAGCTGTGCTCTTTCTTTTTATTTGGAAGCTGGTTATCTTGCTAAGGAGGCGTGAGTGTTTTGCCTTTTGTAGTGTCTTGTAGCAGCAACTGCTTCTGTATAGACAGCAGTGATTCAAGGAGCAGCAAAGAATCTTATAGCATTTAGGAACAAGAATTGTTTATCCATCAATCCTGCAGTGACAGGAAACAGGGTAAAAATCTTGCTCTAACATGCATGATTTCACAAGTCCTTTGAACCGTATTTATTAGATCCTTTGCATTTTAATATCTAGCTGTGGTAATCTTGTTTTCTAGTCCACTGACACCCCAGATTTGTTGAGAACAATGAATTTGCCTGGAACAGGACACAAAGTGGAAGAAAAGGTAACAAAACTTTTACACTCGCTTTGCACCAAGTTAATTTGTAATTTTATTTGTTAGAAGCCTGACAGTCAGTTTTTGCTTTAATACACGTTTCATTGTTCCGTGATCATCCAAGATTTTGTGAACGTTATGCAGTTTGGGGGTTAGTAAATAAGCAATAACTAAGATGATTGAGAAATCTGTAAGAGTTGATTGCAGGGAACAGCAGAACTCGGTCTCTATTCCTGCATTTGATGTATTAATCACAGAGCCATAATTTTCATAAGTATTTCTACTACTTTGTTATGCCTACATGTAATTCAATAAGCGTATGCAAAATGTCCCATCAGCTTTTAAGTAATTGGTTCCCTAATTAGCATACGTTTAACCTGGGAAGATTACAGAGCAAATGTATGTGATTTTCTTTCCTTACAGAAGATGTTTTCTCCCTTCTTTTTTTTCTGCCTTCTTTTTCCACTTGGATTGTGCCAAATACCAGTCTCAGGATGACAGCTCAGTCACTTACAGGAGACACTGATTACAGGCTCACTCTTACACGTCTAGACATACAGTCCACTGTATTTATTCATGAGAGGAGTCTCACTAAATCACTTTGTATTTGCACTTTCTGAACCTAAGTATTTGAAGGGCAAGAGAAAAAAGCACCAATCAAAGCCAGTATTGTCTTATTTTATTTTTTGCCGTTCTTTGGTGCTAGCTTGGACAACTCCACATGACTGTGGAGGGACGGTTTTCCACAGGCACTGTGCCAGTCTGAGATCCAATACCATAGTCATCTCCCATGCAGATAGTACAGCTCTGTAGCTGTTCTGTTATAATGATTAGATAAGTCAATCTGACTTGCTCTTGCCTAAAGTGTATCATCTAAATTATTTAAAGAGGTAGATATTTCTTCCACAGTAAGCAAACTTTAAAATGTCCCAGTGTTTGACGTTGCTTAAAACTCTGCCTCTGACCTTCGCATTCTCAACAACTTCTGAGCGGAGCTAAACTGTGAAAAAACTTCAGTTAGAATGTAAGTAATTTTTAAGTGAAAAGTATAAAAACATGTAGTACTGGAAATAGGAAAATATTACAGCTGTAACTTTCATGTCCAAAGTTCATGACTTGTATAATGGAAAAACAGGCTTTGAAATCTTTTCTGCTAATAACTCCTTTGAATTCAAAACTGCAAAGGCTTTTTTTTGTGTGTGTGATTTATTCATTCATTTATTTATTTATTTAAATGAACAAATAGCTTAATAATAGCTTCTTGTGTTTGTGATACAAACAGGTCACTCCAGTCAAATCATCTCGGCCAAAAAGACAATTTTCCTGTTCTGGCACAATTGAAACAATCAATCTGGATGCAGTTCCCCAGGCTGTTGCTCGTCTAGACAACAGTGCAGCTAAACACAAGCTGTCAGTGAAGCCAAAAAAGCAGAGGATGTCAAGAAAGCACAAGAGATTAACAAAGGTATTGAATCACTGGTCAAATAGCGGGAGGAGGGGGGTTGCTTTTGCAGCTGGGTACAAAATAACCGCAAAGGAGTGCACCAGGAGTAGCTATAGACAGGGGACTGTCTAACGATGTGATGAACACTGTTAGAGGTAGCTATTGAAAGCTTCTTCGACAAATCTTGTGTCTTCAGGGCAAAACAAAATGCATGCTTCTTTCATTTTGTCTTGAAATCAAGATAGAAACCTAAAGACGAAACCCTAGCTGGAGAGAAGATGCAAAGAAGGTTTAATATGGCCAGTTGAGACAAATACTACTTACACCTGAGGTACTTCCACTAGGATTTTACATTGGGAGGGTTTTCTGATTCTCGTTTTTCTAGGAAAAAATGTAGGTCATAAAGGTCTGAAGGATATCTGCCACTGCTCTGGTATAGGCAATCATATAGTGCAAAATTTGGTTGGGAAAAAACAGATTCTCTAAAACTGGCATGGGTTCTGACAGTGATAATATCATTGTCTTATAAGAAAGAATAATACTTAAGTAACGCAGCTCTTGCTATAGCTAGAGTGAATTATCAAATCCTTGCTTTGTACACTTACTGCATGGCTGTTTTGATTTTTATCCTGACATCTTACCAGTGCTTGTAAATGGGACAAGACTATTCAACTAATACAGGGTTCAGGAGAGGCCACTGTCCTTTCTTCTGCACCATTGTACTTGCATTTATCATTCTTGCAATGAAGAAATTAATTTTAAGCCTCTAGTATATACAGAATGTTTAACTGGAGCCAAATGATGGCTCAACAAATGATAGCTAGACGGGGCATTAGCTGAGCTGTTTTCCTGAAGGAAAGTGCTGGGAAGCACTCTTCAGGTGCAGCTCATCTTCAGACCGTGTCCCTACAGAGACAAGGAGTAAGCTCTGAAGAAGATCTGTGTTCAGTTTATTGCAGGTATTGCACCCGCATGCCAGGGCTGTGGGGCAAGGACGGAGAACCAGCGGTCGGCAGTTAGTATGTGCCTCGGGACAGTACAGCACAGTATTGCTGGGGAGCTCTAGGTTCCCTGTCCATGCATGGTCCCACGGTTCCTGCAATAGAACTGGACTCTCAGCAGAGCTAATGGAAGAAGATATCCTGGCTCAGGATTCGTGAAAAGCAACCAAATTGTGTTTCCCTGAGCAGTGTTCTTTCCTGGCTAGCGTTGCAGAGCCCTTTTCTGCAGGCAACAGCTTCTGTCTCTGCAAGTAAGAGCTAGATTTGCCATGAAAGAACTGGCAAAACAATGCCCTGAAGCCGGTGCTAATTATTTCAGGCTTAAAGGATGGAGTTCTAAGTAGTAGAACAGGCATATGAAACTTGTGCTCTATTCCTCGGGCTTCTGTAAATTTGAAATGGCAGGTCTCAATCTGGATTAGCTCATGTACAGCAAATGGTGATTCAATATGTAGCATTATACTGTTATCGCTGTTGGGATGTTTTCTTTCTTTTAAAGGCTACCATCCAAATAGGTGAGAGGCATGGGATATATGATGATGTGATCCATAAATTGGGGTGGGTGTGTTGGTGAGTTGGCTCTGGATCTAAATCATCGTTTTGGAAAAGAAAAAAAAAGCTGTTTTGCATTTGCAACTGATTGTTTGTTCACTGTAAAGAATAACAAGCCAATAGGCAATATTGAATAACTCCAAAATTGTCTCCCAATTTTAGGGATCACAAAGTTTAACAATAACAGAATTTGAACCAGAGGACCTAGAAACTCAGCTGTATGGAGACAGATACCCAGGTTATAATGGACACATCATAGCAGACAAGCTAATCCAGAACAGAGATGAGCAGAAACAGCTTCAGCTGGCAGAGGAGAAAAGAATTGAAGATCGCTGGGGGATCTCTGAGGCCGAAAGGATAAGGCAGATTGTAGAAATGGAAGAACAAAGAGAAATGGAAGAACAAAGGTGCCAAGAACTTGAGCAGATGCAAAAAGAGCAGGAGAGAAGGCGTGAAGAAGAGAGGAGGCAGAATCTCCCTGAAGGAGAGACATCTTTGAAAATAGAAGAGCAAACATGCCGTAAAGAGGAGAAAAGACTGCTGGAGGCTGAAAAGAGACAAGAGCTGGAGAAGCAGAGGCAGAAGGAGTTGGAGGAGCAACAGAGACGAGAGCTGGAGGAGCAGAAGCGCCGGGAACGGGAGGAGCAACAGAGACGAGAGCTGGAGGAGCAGAAGAGCCGGGAACGGGAGGAGCAACAGAGACGAGAGCTGGAGGAGCAGAAGCGCCGGGAACGGGAGGACCAACAGAGACGAGAGCTGGAGGAGCAGAAGAGCCGGGAACGGGAGGAGCAGAGATGTCAGGAGTCAGAGGAGCAGAACAGGCAAGAGCTAGAGGAGCAGAAGCGTCAGGAATGGGAAGAGCAGAGGCGCAAGGAGCTGGAGGAGAAACAGAGGCGAGAGCTGGAGGAGCAGAAGAGGCTAGGGCTGGAAGAATTAAGGCAACACGAGACTGAAAAACAGTGTCAAGAGGAAGAAGAAAGAAGTTGGCTGGAGGAACAAAAAGAACTCAATGAACAAAATATGGAAGAAAAACAGAGACAAGAGCTAGAAGAGAAAGAGCTTCAAGAAGCTGAAATAAAACTGAAGCAGGAGAAAGAAGCTGAGAGCCTCAAACAACAGAAGAAACAGGAGGAACAAAGGCAGCATTTGAAGGAGAAAGGAGAAAAGACAGAGGAGGAACAACCCCAGCAAGTAATGGATAAGAAAAAGAAACGTGAGGAGCAGAGAAAACACAAGCTCACAAAACAAATGCACATGGAAAGTGCAGAGGGTCTGCAACAAGATGAATTGAAGCAGCAAAAGGAACAAAATGAACAAGAATGGAACAAGCTGGAAGAGCAGAAGGTAGACACAGAAGGACAAAATCTTCAGCAAAACCAACAAGAAAAATCCTTGGAACAGCAACAGGACAAGGATGAGTTGTGTTCTGGAGGGGCTGACAGGCATCCAATAGAAGAGAAGCTCCAAGAAGGATCAAGATCCCAAAAACTCAAACAGCCAGAAAAAGGGAATAAAACATCAGAAGAAGTCCTAGCCCAGAAACTGAAGAGAGAAGTTGAGGCTCAGGAACAAAAGCGAATAGGGGAAGAACTTAGGTGGCAAGAGGTAGATGAAAGACAAACTGCATCCAGACCCTTCACATTTCAAGTGTCTTCTGGAGATAAACAGATCATATTTCAGAAAGTAAATCTGAGTCCGGTCATGCCCGTCAAAGGAGCAGGACTCTCTTCTCCATCCGTCAAAGACTGCAGGATGCACGCTTCCAGCAGGGGCTCTCATACACTCCCGTCATCTGTGTGTGTACCCCACACGGCTATTTTGGTTACTGGAGCACAGCTGTGTGGCACAGCAGTTAACCTGAACCAGATAAAGGACACAGCTTGTAAGTCGTTACTTGGCTTAACAGAAGAGAGAAAAAATGTGGAAATTCCTTCACCAGAGAAGGCCCAGAAAAAACCCCAGGATCCCAAACCCAGCAGCAGTAAAATGAAATATGCACAAGAGACATTGAACAACCAGGCCGTACTAGCTGAGTGGGCTTCTATCCGCTCCAGGATCCTAAAGAACGCAGAAAACAGCAAATACAACGAGAGAGACCGAGTAAGTGTCTGCAGACACAGTGATGACTGGACACCCCGAGGACGGGGTGCTCCCCATGGTAACCTGAGGAAAACCCTCTCTGCAAATGCAAAGTTCTCGATAACACCAGCATGGCAGAAATTTTCAGAAGCTTCAAAAAACAGTTCAGATGCTGAGAATGTAAGTGCGGCAAAAGGCAATGAAACAGTGGCTGTGGGAAGAATCACTGGCTCATCCGCCGATTTGAAGGAGGATGTGGCTTCTGCTTTTAAAGGTAACTTAGCTGAAAAGGCTAAGGAGAAAATGGAAACCCACAGTGAAATGACAGACAATACAGAAGGCTGTAAATTTGCAAAAGATCTTCCATCTTTCCTTGTTCCAAGTTTTCCTCATTCTCCGGGTAAAGAATTACCCCAGGCAGAACTTCCCGGTGCTCTGGAAAATCAGCAGAATAACAGCACAAAAAAAGCAGATAAACCAGCACCAAACGGAGAAGAAAATGTTTCTCCTTTTGGGATAAAGTTACGAAGGACAAACTACTCCTTACGTTTCCATTATGATCAACAGGCAGAGCAAAGGAAAAAGAAAAGATACAGTGCAGGAGATAGTTTTGATGGCGTGCCTGACCCACTAGTTACAACAGAAGATGAGAAAGAATCCTCTGTTTTTGCTCCACAAGAGAGTACATCCCCTGGCATGAGGAGGGTGAACGTCCCTGGTATTTTAAAAGACTCAAAAGGCTCTTCAGTTACTGTGGCGGAGGTTGCACAACCAGCAGGCACACCAGTGGTCCCACCAGCCACCGGACAGAGTGCTTTACCCTCTCATGAGAAACCAGCATGCAAGTCACTGGTCCCACAGAAACCTGCTTTAGCTCCAAAGCCCACCAGCCAGACACCACCATCGTCTCCTCTCTCTAAAATGAACCGATCAAACCTAGCTGATACGCTAGGGCAAAGGTTGGTTAAAGCTGAATCGGAAGGTGGCTGGAGAAAAGAAGACAGAGCAAATGCAGTGCACCCCACACCATCCAATGAGTACAAAAATGAAGAGGAAGAAATCAGAGAAAAGAAGTCGTTTTTCCCATCTATAAGTATTCCATGGAGAGAAAAAAATGACAAAAAGCCTGAGCCGTTGAAGAAAGGTATGTATTTTTCAAAGGTCATTTAGCTATTGTCTGCATTTCCAAAATGAGATACTGGCAGTCCAGAGGAAGACATTTGGTCTTAAGTTAGAATTTTTACCTGGCATGTTATTTGTGGAGTACCACTACTTTGCTTAGGGTTGTCTGAATGAATGGGACTTCCCATCCCTGCAGGTCAATTCAGAAACACACAAACTCAGCGTGACCAGGGTGACCTGCTTAAGAACGTTAACTTCAAGGAGGTAACTGAAGTGTGTGTGTGTTTTCCTTGCTACAGATGTTACCTAGTTAGTCAGAGGATGGACTCTGTGTTCCATCAGAGCAGAGGGAATCGTTTTTATAATTTACATTATATTGTTTCTATTTTTTAGGAGAATATTATCTAGCTTAAAAAAATATTAAGATCTAGGTCCCCTTATAGTGCCTATCCTGGGCAAATTCTCTATCTAACTGAATATAGCTGGGCACAGGAGTCTGCATTTCAGAGGCACTCTTCAGTAATAGAAACAATTACAGTAGCCATAGCGGCTCTTCAGAGGAGGGTTGAAAGCCCCTCTGTCCTGAAGTAACATTCTGTACAAGAGGAAAAACTACCCTTTCGGCGTAAGGACACTCAAAAGAGCAAGGCAGGAATTCAACATTTAATTGGGAAATCCCAATTTTTTTCCATTCTTGAATTTTGCAAGCATCAAGACACATCTAAAACTGTATCTCAGTGGAACTGCTGCTTATTTTTTCCAATTTTTTACACTTTTTCCTTTCACTTCCATTTTTAAATGAGGATTTATGGAAACTATTTGGAGGCACAGCTGCCAGCCTGGGAGAGCAGGGCCCGGGCCAGTTGAGGGTTTCTGAGCTCACAGAGCTCTGCAGGAGCACCTTTGCACCCCAGTGCTGCTCCCTGCCTCTCACAGCTCTATACTGGATGCTAGCCCCAATTTCATGCAGGGTACAGAAAGTCAAATGCTCAAGTGAAAATTAAAAAAAAAAAAACCCAAACATTTTTTAAGAGGGGCTGCATTTATAAGAGTACATAATTTCCGTGCCCTTTATTTGGCTGAAGTTTGGACTTCTTCCCTTAAATACGGCTGGAAAATCAGGGAACTGCAGTACGTAGTGGCTGGATCCCTTTCATCAGAGGTGTAAACAATCAATGCATACATATCACTTTCAGTTAAATATGTAGTAAATTAGGCTATAGCTCTAAGAGTCTGGGGTAGGCTTTTTCATAAAAAAGGGTAAATTTGGACAGCTGTAGGAGTGTGTTGAATTAGGTCTTATTCTTGAGGCATAAAAACAGTTTCAGGATTTGACATACAGTCCACGAAGGTCTCTGAATGGCACGGCACTCAATGGGCTTAGCTCCAGAGTTTTCACAAGGTAGAGAAGTTGTACTCATTTGCTTGAGACAAGAGATGTGCACTACTTAACCAATTCTTTTCATGTTTTCTTTCAGAAAAACCAGTCCTCCAGAGCAGGCACTCTTTAGATGGCTCTAAATTGATGGAAAAAGTCGAAACTTCACAACCACTTTGGATTACATTAGCGCTGCAAAAGCAAAAGGGATTTCGTGAGCAGCAAGCTACGAGGGAAGAGAGGAGGCAAGCCAGAGAGGCGAAGCAAGCAGAGAAGCTGGCTAAAGAAAATGTAAACAATCTTTAGAAACCAGCCCATTAGAAATACTGATACCATAATTATAACTGTTAGCTAGTTTTATTATGTGAAAGGGAATTTTTTTTAATGTTTGGTTTGTAAGATTTCATAAAAGCTAAAATGACAGTGAGTAAAAAGTAGTCTGAAAGTCTGGAGTTCCCTTTTGCAAAACTGAGACCTCCAGGAGAAAATACTGTGCAGTAGTTTGGCAATTTTAGTGTAAACTGTGATGCCTTAATATCAGGTGGTGGTTAATGGCAATCATAAGCACGACCACTGCACAGGTGATGGAACAGAAAAATTGTATGCACCATGGTTCTTTCAAGGCTTGAGTAAATAAGACGTTAAGCCTTAATGCCTGTGGAGTAACAGCTGGAATACTCATTTGTAGGTGAATATTAGTAAGTTTGAATTTATTTTTATCATAACATGTATTATTTGGATAAAATGTAGACGAATGAAAGAAACGAACCGTCATGTGAAACATCCAAATGCCTAAAGCAGGCACTGAATTAAAGTATCACTTCTTTCCTGTTCTCTAAATAGCTATTTACTATTCATGGTTTTCTATTAGTAAGAAAAACACTTCTACTTACAGTACAGAAGTGATGCTACACGAGCAGTGATGCTGTATATAGATACCACAGATGGTAAAAAGGGAGATTATGTGGATAACTAAGTATATTTTGATGTTTGTTACGAGACCCAAATTTCTGATGGACACATGCATAATTACATAGATAATTGGCGGAAGAAAACAGCAGTGGGCGTAAAGTTGCACACTGTGTGTCAGTGCTGTATTTAACAGGTAGGGCTGGCTCAAACTGTTCAATATTTTGACTGAAATGACATGATAAATTTAACTTTGTGGGGTTTTTTTTACAGTCTTTAATAACTGTTAGTTTTAGAAGTATCAGCATGTTTTGAGTCTTTGCGAAAAAGGAAGGTTAAGGAAAGGGCAGGTGATGAATGAAAGCATCAAGTGTGACATCTCTTACTTGTAGCCACTACGACAGATGTTTCTCATTTAGCAGTTTTTCTTCTCTGTTCTAGGCTGCTGTAAGTAATCAGTCAGATAATAAAAGCAGCAGCAGCAAAACAAGCACGCTGCAGAAAACTACACCTCAAGAAGGGGAGAAGAAAATTGAGACTGCTGTGTCAAGACTAGAAAGAAGGGAGCAGCTAAAAAAGTCGAACACCCTTCCAACTTCTGTGACAGGTACAGTGAGAAATTCAGATTTACTCTAGGAATCAAGCACTTCAGAAATGGTATTGCATGTTTTGGAGAAAGTGACTGAATGCTTTTTTTTTTCCCCCCTTATATATTACCCCTAGAATTACAAATGCATTTGCTTTCAGCACAGAACAACGCAACTTGTCCCAGTCTCATGTGCTGGCCATTATGCTGGAAGTACGTAATTTTAACAGGTTTTTATCAGGTTCCCCAGGTTATCAAGGTTGCACTACTGCATTTCCTTAGAATTGCCCCAGTTCAAGTTAAAAAAATCAGGCTGTCTCCCCAAGCCATATCCAACAGTATTTTTGGAACATGACTAATGCACATTAGAGGGATTTGATTTACTGTATATTGCAGTTGCGGTACTGTTTTGCCTTTAGGTTGGGGGTTAGCACAGAGGGGGAATGATACTTAACTTCTGCAAAGTGTATGTGTGTAGGAAATGAAGCATATTGTGTTCCCACACCTCCCAGTTTGCCAAGGAGAAATACTCACCCCAGAATATTTGGAATGAGTAGTCTCGTTTCATTCAAAAATGGAAAAACTAATCAATTCAGTTGAAGGTAGCCTGTCACTTTGAATTGAGGACTTCTCCCTCCCAGTCAAGTATTTGGTATGGAAGGTTGGAACCAGAACCTACTACTTTATCTGTCACTCAGTTAAGCTGAAACAATTACATATTCAAAAGGCAGGCACATTGAAATAAATACTTCCCCAAAGGGCATAATATTTGGGGTGCTGTAAGGTGTTGAAATAGAGACTTGCTGAATATTTCTCTAGCCAACATTAGTCCTAGGCAAAAGGTTTTGTAGAAGAGTACAGACAGGTGTCGAAGAAACCTTTTTACAAGTTGCACAGTAAACAGTGTGGGCTGCTTTGAAAGTAAATCCACGTATCGGCTGAATCTATTCAGTACCACTCCAAGTCAAGAATTATGGAATGCAACAACTGAAAGCAATGAGGTAATTAATTTATCTGATGTGTAATAGTAAAAGCTAAAACAGTGCTACTCCTGCATTACAGACCGTTCCAAGCTAAACAACCCCATGCATGCCTATATTCAGTTGGTTGGGCAGCTGCATGTCCACACTGCAGCTGCACGCCAGTGCAGATATCCCTGAGAACTTTACTTGCAAGATCGTGGGTTAGACTAGATGGTCTTTAAAGGTCCGTTCCAACCCAAACCATTCTAAGATCTCACATAGATTGCCCAAAACTTTCATGCTCCCTGTTACCCTGCTTTCAGTGTCCAAACTGGTTTTAGAGTTACAGCATTCCTGTCAACCTGTAACAGGGGTCTGTTGCAGCCCTACCCCAAAAGATTCAGCAGTATGATGTTACGCTGTACACGGTCAATTCTAGCAGAAATCAAACTCTAGCACAATAGATTATGTCAAATTAGATCAAAGAAGGCCCAAAACCCAATTATCCTTGGTCAGTCTGTCTATCTGCACTAGAATGAGAGTTTCGGGAGGAAATTCAGGAGGAATTACCAATTTTGAGTTACCTAAAGTGAAGGCACAGAACTGTGTTGGCCCTGAAGGAAATAGTGACTGGATTTCCTTTTTTTTTTTTTTTTTTTTTTTTAGCCATTATCAACTATACAAATATGCTACATACAAGTATTTGTTGTTTATGGATGATGACACTGATTTAGGTTTCCCACAATTAGGAGAGCATTTAAGGCAGAAGACCAGGCTAGAACATGTTTAAAATAAAAGTTTGCTGAGTCTTCCTCTAAGGTCATTTAAAAAACACCCAAAACTTGAAGAAGTTGGTATATTTCAGACTTGCACTTGAGTCTTGTACAACAGGAACTGTTAAGAGGGTGTAACCTTTAAAATAGCATAAATTACCATAACCTTTAAAATAATTAGCTTTTCAAAGTGTCTGTCTACAGCAATAGCTGCTCCTACTGTTCATTTACTTATAGCTAAAAATACATGATTAAAGATGTTTTAAAAAGAAAAAGAAACAATTTTTGCCATCCATGCAATTTTAAAGCTTTTTAAAAAATTTAAAACCTGAAAATGAAATGCAACTAAAACTAATTTGGACTGAATATGAACATTTAACAAAAAAAAGCTTTTTGGCTCATAAAAAATAAAATGTGTAAGGGGGGATTAGTGAGGAATTATTTTGTAATTAAGATTTTTAGAGTTACTCCATAGGTTTCAGATAGGACTCGTTTCTATCCAGACTGCCTTCAAGGGCATTCACTGTCCCAGAATTAAACAATCTTCCCACCTGACTTCTACAATATACTTCTACAGTTCTGCTCTGTAAAGTTCCTTGTTAAAAATCAGTTGCTTATTCAACACATTTTCTTGCTGAGGCAGCTGTTTGTCTTAAATACACTATTTTAAAGAAAATGTGACAAACAGCTACTGGAGAAAGCTGGTTCATTTCTTCTTTAGGATAGTCTCATGGGAGTGGTTAACTGAGGCAGAAAACTATAGGACTGCTTTCTTCTCTGTGCTTATTTAAGAACTCTGAAGAGGCACTCTAAATCCTACTGAATAGAGTTGGGTTACACGTGTTCAGCAGCTGCATTACCAAAGAGAAAAAAAAATCCAGCTTTATTTCCCATTGTTTGCTACATTGCAGATGTAATTAAAATAGTTTATGTAAAGAAGACAACTGGCGAATTGGAAATGTTTTCTCTGGATCTCAGACTGAAAAGTTTGTCCCTATTTTTGTGAGTTACATTACTTGGAGTCACCTCTGAAAAAGGAAGCTCAGCTCCTCGCTTGATTATTTTGCAAATACAATAAAAAGTAAGATTTAACTAAAAGGGTTGGAAATAAGTATGAAATGTTAGGTCAGAACATCTTCACAGAAAAGAAGTGAAATCTCTAGATTCCTGCAAAGTACAGGGTTCAACTAATGTTTTTTTTTCTCTTCCCCTCCCCACCCCATCAAAAACAGTGGAAATTTCAGATTCTGTTCCGTCAACCCCACTGGCAAAGGAGGTGACCAAGAGATTCTCTACACCTGATGCTAACCCAGTGTCAACAGAACCAGCCTGGCTTGCGTTAGCCAAGAGGAAAGCAAAAGCCTGGAGTGACTGTCCACAGATCATAAAGTAAACTAAAATTACATCTCTATTGCTGACTATTAATTGCTTTCTTTTTATTTATTCAGCTTTTTACACATGACAAAACTGAAAATGCATGTACTGAAGGACTGAAAATTGAACTGATTACCATTTTGCTCTAGCTCACTGTAAAGTCTACTCAAGTCATATATTCTGTTGCTTTGACAAATAGCTAAATGAGGTCACGGCAAAAATTTCAGAGCCAGACTCTCTCAAAAATTTAAGAATGCTCAGATACTGGATGTAAATTTTAGCGAGTATCATAAAAAGGGCCAGAACTTCAGTTAGAAGCTCCTTAAATTCTGTGAGTATTTGATTCTGGAATTTTAGATCTCTACACTTAAGTGGCAATCTCAGAAATTTTTTTCAACACTCCCATTGTTGAAAATTAAGGCAAGATGCATGTTCCCATCTCTTATTCCCAAATTTTTTTTAAGTGTTAAACTGTATGAACTGTTAGTTCTACCTGCTATTTGAAAGCTTCTTTCCTAATGAAGAACTTAGGGAGGTTTCTTTCCACCTGCAAATGATAAGTAGAAAGATGGTACCATCCAAATGCTGAGGTAATTTCTTTCATCATAGGATGTCTAGATAGACACACTATGTCTATATTCCCTAACTCCTAGGAAGAAAACAATTCATCCTACTTAACAAAACCACCTTAAACAAAAGTCAGAAAGTTTTCAGAAAGAAGCCAGGGAGTCAGTGTTTCTACTAGTCATTCAAGTGCATCACTGTTTGTGCTTGGCCATATTTAAGATGCATAGAGGCAATGACTGCAGATTACAACTTTAAATCAGTCAACTGGAACTAAAGTAAACAAAACTATTCCTGTGCTCATGTAGCTGTAGAATTAGTCTAAGTTCACACAGGAGTAAGACTGGCAGAACTGAAGTTAACTGAGAACTGAAAGCTAAGTCAGTGAGAGCCTCAAGAGTTTTAACTCTGCATTCTTCCCGATTTTACTCCACGTGTAACTTCAGGTAGTTCAGATAACTTCCTGTACTTTGACCCGTACAGCCAGAACACTTCAGAAAGAAGTTTACTTTCCACATCTCAGGTATCTGCTTTGGCAATTGAACACTTTATTACTACTTGTAACTAAAACAGAAATGTTCACCCCCTCCCTCTTACAAAAAAGGATAAAGTCCATCATGTAATAAAAATTTTACTATCCTCAACATCCCACACAAATAGCTAGGTTTACATTTTAAAAAGTCACCCTAGTAAACAAATCTGTAACACACCCGAGTTTGTTTTACAAGGAAGTCTTTAACAAATTTGAACATCTCCTTCTTATAACCATAAGGCTTAAACAACCTTTAAGCCTACAACATCATAAAGGGAGATGTTTTCATGAGAAGAAATTGCATCATTATAGAATGATACCACATAATGTTTAGTGGAAGTATTTTAGCCAAACTGCTGTATGCAGCATGAGGAGTAGCACTTTAAATTATGCAGAAAACAATGAAACCCACTGTATCCTCCTGTTCCAAGAACCAAAAAGGGCTTGTCAGCAAAAGTCATTGAGTACGCTATTTCCCACCAAACAGAAAACAACGGTTCAGTATCATGGTTACAACAGCACAAACACAAGGGACATGTTAGATTGACTAGATGCGTAGTAGCAAGATGGGTTTTTTTGGATCTCTTAAGTCATCAGTTTTGCTCCGTTTCATATGTAAATCCAGAATCTCTAAAGTAACTTTTTACCCTTAATATAAGTATTTTAAATGTTTTATACAGAGATGGGGCAATGCTGCTCTCAAATGCTTTAAAAAAAAAAGACACCTAACACCTTCAAAGTCAAATCTCTGCAAGCTTATCTGAAGAAAGAATTGGGCCCATAATTATTTTTAATGTGCTAGCACCATGAATTAGTGCTTCTTAAGTTAAATTTACACTTTTTCTGAGTTTATAAGCCTGCAATATGTATTTTTAATTACAAGAACTAAAATGCCTGAAATCCATCATTATGATTACTTCTTGGGAGAAGGATCCAGGCAGAAATATAGAGAAGGTGAAGTAAATCAGGGTTAAAGAATTAAAGATACTGGTATTCTGAAAAGCATAGCAAAATTAGGTGCTATTGTGCATGACATAAGGATGCAATTTTCCAATACAATACATTTATAGCACATAGAATAGAGCTTTCATTAAGGATGGTCTTAATCTAAAGCTTCAAAGCAGAGGTTTTTTCCAACCATAAAGGTATCTAGTGTAATAATGGAAACTGTATTATGTACAGTACTTGGTGAAAACATTTCTAAAGTGTACATGTTCAACAGTGACATTTCATGTTAAATTAACAAAATTTTGCACTAAATACCAATGAAGTGAAGTGTTACTTTGCTTTAGCTGTGTTGCAACCATTTCTGATAAAGTGTTGGAAATCTGTAAAAAATAAAACCAAAACATTACTTCCGAGTTTAAAACAGCAAAAATGTTTTAAGAACCGAACAAACCACTATGTAGTATATTGTCTCAATTTTTTGTAACTTATACACGCAAAATACCATTTCTTCTGACAAGGTTATATACAATTAACCTCTATGTTCATATAGTAATGTATAAAAACTAAGATGTATAATTGTGGGGTATTTGTTGTGTACTTTTTTAATTTTTCAAATGTTTTAAAGTGCAATTGTTTATTATACTAATGTCATTTTAATTCTTATTAAACTATAACCCAGTCAAAATTATCTAATCAATGATGTATGTATTCTGTGTCTCCTTTTGCTAACCATGTAGTTCAGGTTTGCTTTATAAATAGAACTTTTTACAGTGCTACAAGCGTCTTGCCTATGTATTTCTGCTAACGATAAAATGGAGGAACCAGATGTGATGAAGCAACATAGCCAGTGCAACTTCTACTTTACCTTTTAATTCAAGATGTTAGAATGCAAAGTAGATGGCTCATCAGAGAGACTGAGATAATAGTTTCTACTGTAGTTCTTTTAGAAGACTCATAATCAGGAAGATGCTCTCAGGTAAGTGTACTTTTGTCACTGCAAATACTTGATTCGCATTACTAAGACCACTGGCAATTCCTTTTAAGTCATTAAAGACAATGAAAACCAATTTACACAACCTTTTATTAATAGTTGTCTGTAAAGACAGAGAGCATACATTCAAATCTTTTAAAAAATGATTTGACAATGGTTGATTTGAACAGTGCACACTTCATCTTGGAACTCATACTGTACCCGTCTTTGAAATTTAATAAATATACACATACAAGTATATTCTCCACTTTAGAATACAAGAAGTAACTCCTAACTGACTTCAACGGAGTATAAGTATATGCTTGGCTGAATTGAAGCCATGGAGGGCCTCGGCTCACAAAAGATGAACTATTCAGTTTACATAAACTATAGTAAACAAGTCACTACTACCAGGTATATGCAATGCAGGCTCTGTCTTCAGAGATCAAGTTAAAAGTTAGACTCAAAAAAGGACTTGGGTTACCTTGCCACGGCATAGAAACCTCATCAGACCAGAAAAACACAAACACTGGTGTTGCATGAAGAGCCAGGCACAGGCTAGGCTGGACTCAGAGAGAGGAATACGTTCCTCCCTCAGGCAGACAAGCGTGTTATTCCAAGCTGCAGAGGATGGCACCTTACCACAGTTTCTGCCAGTCCTGCAAGTGTTTGAAGCCAAACTACTGACTGTCATTTTCTTACTACACAGGTCAAAGCACAACATTCAAATCCAAACCATCTGAAACATGGTCTTTCATGAGTCAGCGATAGGAAATGAGGCAGGGACAGTGAAACTTCTGACTGGGTGCTGAGCAGCCATCCTCCTTCAATCAGTACAGCAAGTCAACAAACATCACTTTACTTACTCTGGACACTGCCTGGTGCAAAATGCTACCCAAGAAGTCTGCAAAGAGCACCTCTTGCCTACAGTAAAATAGGCAGAGAGGTAGAGAGCACCTGTGAGTTCTTAATTTACACATATAAACAATAAAAAGGAAGCAGCCTAACATCTTAGCTATTCTTTTTTCCCTGTTATATACAAATCTAGGCAATAAACATAATCATTTCTACAGCCAACAACAAGCTTTGTTCCCCATACTACAGGGGAAGAGAAAACCTCTCCTGGAAGCTTATCTACTCCTTCTGCTGTTCCACTCTTGGCATTCAGGATCCACACTTTGCCATCTGTAGATACTGCTGCCAAAAGAATTTTGTTCTTTAAGTCATCACTTTGGAAAACGAATGGTGTTCCATATACACTCGAAGTGGCTTCAAATTTCCACAGTAAATTACCCTCCATGTTACAACAGTAGATAAAGCAATCATGGGAACCAAAAAATATTTCTTGCTTAGTTAAACTCGAGATGCATGGAGATGAAAACACCGGTCCATTAGTGGAAAACTGCCAAACCTACAAAAAGAACATACCGACCCATTATCAAAGATTGTTCACATTATCAGTTTGACAGCAACTGTGATTTTTTAATACAGTAGTTGTTGACAGGAGAGCATTTTATTTCAAGAGCATACTAGATTTCAGTGAGGGCTGGTAAATACTTGTCAAATTACAAGTTAAGTTTTACACAGAGAGTAAATGATAAAAGACTCATAAAACAGATGTGCAAGAATTACTACCTTCTCTGAGGCCCATGTAAATATGGCCAACCTGGGAAAAGAATATTCTTGGGCTGTTGTACAACAATTGGTAATGAACTTTGAGAATTCTGTTAACATGCCATTCTTTGCCAAAAAGGCAAATACTCCTTTTGTAATATAGATTTCCTCTGCTCATGCTAATGACATGCAGATCCCTCCTCAAGAGAGTATCAGTTCTACAACACTGCGGCAAGCAGACAGAGAGCAGGGCATGGGCTAACACGTATTTTATAATCAGAAAAGGCTTAGGAATTGCCATGTATACTGCATCTCAGGCAAACAAACAGAAACAGCATCAGTTATTTTAACACAAGACACAAACGACTTCATCTCTGAGGAACTAAAAAAATATTCTCATTTAATTCAACATGAAGGCTGACAGGTATTTTGCCAGAATTATGATTTGGCATATCTCTGCTGTGATGTCAATATTTTTTGATAAATGCATAAACATTCTAAGGAACCTTTACTTCTAAATAGCCACCATCTTACAGAAGAGATGGCTTTAAACATGCCTGAAAAACTCCAAAACCGAAACCATACCATTTCATTTGCTGGCACTACTCTTGACCATTTACTTTGGGTGTAAGCTCTGAACTAGAAATTCTGTTACTGCATCAAGCAACTTGAGAGTTTGCGGTTTTGCCATGAACTGCATGGACTACCCTAGGCAAACAGTTTTTCTACCTTTTCCTCTCTGTAACAATACACAGACACTTCTATTTGGTTCACAAAAAGGTGTATGTTAATCATTAAACCTCAGAAAACAGTATTAATAAAGCATCTTATTCAGGGTTTTGTGATGAACATAAAAAACACAACCACACCACTTTTACCTTTTCTCCAGAATGAGTGTAACAATATAAGTTTCCATCCACACATCCAACACAAACGTACTTCTCATTGCAGTGAGGAGAGGAGAAGAGTGGTTTTCCGAGGAAGCTTTTCCAAATCTTACTCCCCGTCACCTGTAAATAACAGCATGGAATATCTGATGCCTAACACAACTGTAAGAAGCTGCACAAAACAACCCTTCCTTCACAGCTTGACCCAGCCCTTAAGAATTGGGTGGGGGGAGGAGGGGGAAGCAACAAAGAAAAGCAGGCTTCTCCCATCCAGAATGCATACCAGAAGCAAAACTACTCTTCAAATCTTATTCCAACAAAATGTTCAGTGTTTTCCCTGGGATACTCAATACCCCTGTTCCACCCTTGTCTTCCTCCCCTTAGGCAAAATAATAATGATAATAGTGTAGTAGTAGTAGTAGTATTAATAAATGACAGATTGATTTTTTATTCCATTCCCAGCTCCTCAGTGTGTGATGAGGACCAATGAAGGAGAGGGTATCTTGAAAGTAAGTCATATTGATTCTGTCATAAACTATAAATACTGTAGGAAATGCTGCAACCCACAATCTATGATTGTCACAATAAGTTCCTAACGTAGCCTGCACATTCCTATTTTTATAAATAATCGCTTGGAGTTACAGCTGGGTTTCTCAACTACCTGTTACTCAGGACTATGGGGAAAAAAAATCTGTTTTTTCTTAAGCACAACACCCTAGAGCTGCAAAACCATACACTGGTCTTCTAACACTAGGCTGGGTATTACTGAAGAAACTTGTAGTGGGTGGGAGGTAAAGATGGTTAGGACTGATGCTCTGGGTTGTGCGAGTACAAAAACATGAACCGCTGCTCCAAGTGACTGTTCCTTTTATCAGGCAGGACCAGCTGTAAGCCAACAATGCCTCAGAAAACCATGAAATTGCTCCACATGTATCAAGAATGCCATTTCCCCACTGCAGAGAACAGAACAGCAGTCCTAGATTAAGGGGGACAGCTCTTTAAATGACTACGGGGAGGAAACAGTAAGAGGAATGAAGGGGCTTCTTTCTCTATTCTGTTCTGATTTCAAGAAGTTCTGTGTATTTTTTTTTCTAATCCTACTGTCAAAGGGAGGGAGGGAAAAAAAAACCTACAGACATGCTCTCACTCGTTAGTGCAACTGATAAGGTAGTATTATGTGAATAAGAAGAAACCGATTCCAACTTTGGCCTACAGTCAGCATGTAAATTCAAGTCACTTCAGTTCTCTTTATCACCAGATAGCTTTCTGAAATGGTAACCTTGTGTATAATAATAAGGCCCTCAAGTGAAAAACATCTTATGGTAACATATGATCATCTAGTTCCTTTCATCAGAAAAGTGATCTTAACTTCAGAAATGCATTTTGGTTTCATTTAAATTTGAGATTGGGATCAAAGACAAGTAAGCAAAGGTACATACTGGGTTTACAGCCAATAATAGTCCTCCTAGTGTAGCAACATAAAGATGATGTGGAAAAGAACTTAGACATGGAGATGAAAACACAGCTCCACCTTTGCAATGTAACTTCCATATACATGCCTTTTTCTGTAAGCACAAGAAAAAAGATCAATAAAAAAATTTTCAATTAGAGTTAAAGCTCATCATGTTTATGAAGACCTTCAAATGTCAAAGCTTTTCAAACAGTGCATTTACTCAGCAAATACTAGTAAGAAGGGAAGATACAATCTACATGCTATTATAGCAACACATATGCCATTGGCTACCTTCTCTTCCAGTAAATAAAAGAAATTCAGCTAATGAAAAGGCAGTATCTGCCCCTCTTATTTTCCATCTCCCTTCATCTACTCTTTTAGAATGTAAGATTCTCTCTCCATCATTGAGCCATAGTTTTATTTCTAGCTGGGAACCCTATTCTGAAACACAGAGAATTTAATAACTAAGAAACCTAAGATTTGGTTTCAACCAGGACTAGTAGCACAAGAACCACAGCTGAGAACACCACTAAAACTACCACATAATCCTAACCCTACTTCAAGCAGGCCCAACTATTTCAAAAGTGTAATTGTGGACTCCTGAGAATACTAGCACCAGTGGAGCTTCATCTGGTGTACTACAAATACAGTCTAAGTTGGATATTTATTATTCTATACATAAAAGTTAGTCAGTGTTCTTACATAAATATCCAAAGCATACACATGTTGATCATGTGATCCTATGTAGACTAGTCCACTGGAAGGGTCTACAACTGCAGAGCTTTTCACAGTATCTTCTGTGACAAAAGTCCAGTGTATTTCTCCATCACTGCTTTGAAGCACATACACTAAGCCATCATAACAACCTGTGTGAAATAAAATACAACAGGGGAAAAAAGGATAATGAATATTTGTATTTATGGTGTGATTTATGCTGCTAGCTGCATCACTGATGGAAAGAAGTAAGATGACTCATGAGGTACAGTTTCAAAACATTTTCCAAAGCTCCTCTTCTTCTTTTAGCTCAAAGTCTTTGCTGATAGTTCATACATTCAAAGTTGATTGTTCTGTGTGTTCTTTCCAGGTTACATTGAGAATATACTTATTTCACTGCCTTTCTATCAAATTTTACAGTAATAATATTAGAAAACATGGAGAGTTGCTGAAAAGGGAGAATAAGAATGTTTTTTTAATTACCTATGTCCCTAATTTTCCTCTCTGAAAACAAAGATGCTGGAAGAATAAAGTCTGTATGTTTTCTAATGAAAATGGAACTGTAGTTCTAGAAACTCCTGTTTTAATGGAACATTCAATTTTGTCATCGGAGTAAATAGCAATCAAAATACTAGCAAAAAGATGGTAACATTAGCTTTGCATAAAAAACCTCACCACCTGGACATCTGTGCTAACCAGTGACATATACATATTAGCTATAAAGATAACACTAAGATGAATAATGGCAACTCCATTGACAATGGAAATGACAAAACCAAAAAACTGTCCAAACATCATCTTTACATTTCCAAAAAGAAGAGTCAAATGATAATTAAACTGTGAAAAATAATCTGAAGCACCATGTACTAATTTCTACCTCTATCATTTTTTAAAGACATTTTAAGACTGTATCATCTTTCCATACTTTTTAAAAAAACAGTTTAAAGGTCACACCTTAATCAACCACTAAAAAGAAACCATACCCATTGACTATTCCTTAATAAGGCCTTATTAATAAATTGGCATATAATAAACCACAAGTGTATATGTTAGATAAGCTCCATCACTGGTTATCATGAAACTTAAATTACTTCTTCCTTCTGTTTCTATTTTACAATAAATTAGTTCAGAAGCAGATACAGAAGTTTATGGAGAAGTGTAGATGGAGGGCATTCAGAGATAAGAAATACAATTCTTTGTCATTCATTCTGTACTTAGCAGAAAAAATTCAAAATAAAGGCTAAAACAAAAGACGTACCAACAACAATGAAATTTCCACACTTAGATACGCAGGCAGAAGATTCAATACGATCTCCAAGGTTCTTCTCCCATTTTATTTCTCCCAAATCTAGGTCAATCGCCTGCATTGCATTAGAGTGAGAGCCAACATACACAGACGCAGATACTTCTTCTTCAGATGGTATTATAACCAGTGGTGATGCATCAACACATTTTCTTGTATTTGACTTCCATCTTACATATAATGCCAACTCTGCTGTTGTTACATGACTACATTCTGCATGGATCTGCTGTACAGAGCAACAGACGGTTTTATTTGCCTTGTTCGTAACTGTTAAAATTCTGTTCTCCATTTCATACCCTTGCGCATGGCTTTTCATTATACTTGGAGTCACTAAGTGCAGAAAGGATGGTTGCTGTAGCAGTTCCACTCCTACCTGTACTGTATTATTGGGTTGCATAAAAGACTTGGTGAAATTCATAGGAAAAAAATGATTTCCTCTGCTTAACGCAATAAATGAAATTAACCCTGAAGCAACCTCAAGACCTCTTTCAGATTTCAGTTTAATATATTTTCCATGGAAGTCCTCTCCACTGTTCTCACTTAATTTTCTTTTCACAACATTGTCATAATTCATTAATTGGTCTTCATCTGGAAACAGAATTTTAAGTATATGTCTATAAACCTCTTCAATCGAGCGGCTGAGAATAACTTCAAGGAGTCCAGGCACAGCTTTGCCTACTAGCTTCTCAATTTCATCATAAAATCGTAGAGCCTTTAAGGAGTCTCCACCACTGTACAGAAATACTGCATCTTTAGAAATTCCAGTGGAATCACCTAGGAGACCCAAAAGAGACTAGAGAAAAGAAGAAGGAAAGAGGTTAACAGTCCATGGGTGTTACACCATGTCACGCATAAAAACTCAAGTTAGGTAAAATCCACTTGAATACCCAGAAGTCCCACTAAAAATCAACTGGAACAAGAGTCGGGGAGGAACGGGGAAGCAGGGAGATACTAGTTCTGTACTATAAAATGTTTTGCTCAATTCCAGTTCTGCAGTCTAAGAAACTAAAGCAAATTGTGCTGTATTTTTGTTGGCCATTTTCAATCTCAATACCATTTATTAATGACAACTTCGCAGATAAAACATTGATGCCTTTTGATAAAACTGGATTAGGTGCTTTATTTTATTAATAAACTTATATAAACCAGTATCTTTTACTTCTCAATTATTTAACTAACCTACTTATCTGCCTACCTTCAATTCATGAAGGATTTTGGATTTGGCATTGTTACTACAACAAACAGCAACACTATGCCTCCTCTCACTGCCCTCCCTGCTTGTTAAGTCCAGGTGTGAAGTCCAAATCCTCTGGTTTTGGAAGCCACTTTCTGCTGTCCATAATGGGTCTAGGGCAAATCCCATCCCTTTGGGTTATCATTTCTATGGCCACCAATACGGTAAGTATCAGCACAGGCAAATTGTGTTACTAATTTCACTACATTTACTTGTTCAAGTCCTAGCCACAGCAAATCCCACCTTCAGGTGAAACATGGAAGTCTATCTTTGAAAAAAACAAAGTAATACTGTTTGGCATCACATTTCAGTACCTTGAAAAACAAGTCTTAGCACAGAAATTTAGAAACAATACAAACAGACAGTCCAAGAGACGATTACGCAGCTGTGCCATCTATTTAAAAAAACTCTTCAATTCATAATTATATTTAGAAATAAGAAACTCTACTAACACAGTAGCTATTTTCTACAACGTTTCCATGTCCCAGTTCCTTGTTTCCCTTAGGGATACCATCTTTGGCATGTGAAGCAGTATTCAAAAAGCTACTGACAGGTTACGTCCTTCCTATGCTAATTGCTTATACCTCATAGCCTGCAGTTTTATCTGACGGAGGAATATAAATGACTCCCTCTTGGCCACTGCAGAGCGACTATTAAGTACTAACTGAACAGAAAGAGCTGTACTGCTTAAATCTATAAGCAGCTAGAATGTTCTGGTTGCGTTAGTCATACTTCTTAAAACTGTTTAATTCCTGACACATGTATAATGATCCACTTGCAAAAATAAAAAGGCAGCTCAAAATACTACCTTCCATAAATACTGCAATCTTTCCCACAATTCCTCTGCGCCACTCAGCTTACTGTCACGCCTTCTGGAGTTTAGATGGTTCTGGTAAATCTTGTTCAGTTCAGATATATCAACTTTGCCTTTGTAGAAAATAAAGTACGGTTTTTTTCATTGCTCTTTTAGCATTTGCACTTCCAAAACTTGCTCTGCCCAAATAGTCACACTATTCTTCTACACACTTCCTTATTCATACTCAACTGCACCTGTTTTTTTTTTACCCAGCCAATCAACTACACAGAACCCAATAAGGTTTTTGAAAATTTACCCTAGCCTCCCACATAATCCCACCTTCAAGGCCTGATCTTTCCCCAGCTGAAGTCAGGGTTCTGTTGCAGACTGCAATAGGAACAACTGAGAAAAGAAATGTGCAGTGTTAATACTAAATTGGTTTTACCACTACTCTTTGACTCTCGAATGAAACATTATCGAGAAAACATAATACATGGTCATGATTTCTGACCAGGAGTTAGTTATCTGATCTACATATTTAAAAAGCATGAATCAGGTACCAGATTTTGGTCAACAAAAAAATAAAATTAAAAAAAGGAATAGAGACCGTTAAAGTAAGCGGCAAGAGTACTTAATAGTTTCATTTACCATGTGATGTTAAAGGCAAAGCTTTAATCAGTACCAGCTCATCAGGGACTGCATGAGCTGGTAGACGTTTCTGGAGTTCTTTAAGTGTTTCTCTCTCTTCTAAATCATCTTTGGGTACAACAAACAGGACAAGTTTTTCCTGCTTATACCAGGTCACTGCACAAGCTTCTACCTGACACAGATCTTCAGCAGCCTGTAATTAAAAAATATTAGTCTTGCTCTGAAGTACAGTTCATCAACAGAGTAAAAGGAGTAAAAACCACAACTTTAAAAACTACACATTTAAAATTCATATTTGTCTCGCATTCCTACATAACATCCTATGAAATACTTTCTCTGGTAGCTGAAGTTTGTACTTCTTCACAGAAAAAACCTCAGAGATATATGTATTATTTGCCTAAATGACATGAATGTCCATGACTCTGACATTCAATCTTGTAGAACAATCACTACACAAGCATTGCAGTGCAACGCTCAGTATTTTTCAGGTGTTTTTACAGTTCTCAGTTCTGCTGGAAGAAACCATACAATAAAACAGATTTCCAAGAACTCAGAACCAAACTCCTCCCTAAATTATGTGACTAGATTTTTGATAATACACCCTCCTGATTTCTTTTAGACTCCTAAAAGTCATCTGAAAATGAGTAAATACCCATTTCTGATGATAATGATGTGTTCCTTATCCCTGCTCTTTTATACTGGCATACTCTACCCAATAGATGTTTTATTACCTGCTGCAAACATTCAATATTAAAACGTTTGCCGTGACGTTTAATCTGATTGTCCTTCCGACCCAAGAAGAACAACTTCGCATTCTGCACTCTTACAAAATCCCCTGTTTCTCTCATTGTATCCAGGGGTACAGTTATTTCATCATCAAGAAAGCATATTCGTTCTTCACCACCTACACAAGAAAAGACCGTGGTTATATATATTAAATGGCTAACTGTAAATGAAAATTATAAGGAGTATTTTATCAAATTGTCCTAAACTCTTACAAGCATTATAAGAAGTACATAATAAAAGATTATTATCAATGTCTAAACTTCTGCAATGTACAAATTGGGCTATGCAGTTAATTCAGTTAATGCACAGAAATTACTTCAACTGAGAATGTCAAAATGCAAGCAGGAAAAAAAGTCAATATAATGAAAGCACAGTCTGCAGATAAAATAATAGTAATTTCCTGTTCATCATTCCAACAACCTAAAATACAATCAGAAAGTTCTCAGCCCAATGGGAACTTAAAATGCTGCATTAATCTGTATATCAGAGGCAAACACCAAGTAAAATAATCAACATATTATTTAAACTCAATCAATTAAGAAAAGTATCTTAGAAGAATAAGAAATATCAAATAACCTATAAATATTTGTCCCTCGCCTTCTAGAACCGCAGAACCGTTGGTATCTCTGACCTCAATTTTTGTTCCAAGGAGAGGTGATCCCAGAGGTATAGGGAAATCAGTGCTAAATAAAGAGAGAAATAGTAAAAACCTTTCCCTTCTGAACACAAAACAACTGCTCCAGAAATGAGTTAGCATACAGCCTTTTAAAGGATTGGTATTAGAGCAAAAGTAGATGCTTGGGGCTTCTCTCTACAAATGTTTCTTCTTTAAAAATATCTCAATTTGTTCAAAATTAAAAACCTCATCAATGTGCATGGGTTTCATTATCACATACCAAAAAACACAGCACGATAGAAAATAAGGCCTGAATGGACGCTGAAATACCCTGAGAGTTTCAGCCAGTTTTTAAGTCCCCCAGGTTGAAACTCCCATCAAGCTCAACCAATTTAAACACATGTAACTGCTTTCTAATTCATTCTTTCCCTGTCCTACCTAGTTTGAGCTTTTATTCTATTTTATTACTGATGTTGTGGCAACAATTACAGTTGAGTCTTTCAGAAAAGACTGAAATAAAAGAATCTGTAATTTCAATGTCATGTATCTATTATAGACTACTTCTATTGAGCTGCAGACCAACTCCTTCCTTTCCCTTCATTCTATAGCCTCTTCAAGCATTTGCAGAACCTCATTTATTGAATATATTTCTGAGTGAGAGTACAGAATAATATATTTTCTTCAGTAAAGCAAAATTTAGAAAGCAAAGTAACTTTAAATAACTGGTAATATATGAAGTTAGGCATGGCTGGGTTCCAGTGCAATTTCTATCATAAAGTATCATATTTTAACCTAACAGTTCTTGTTCAACTCCTGTTATTTAGGCTGTTGAAACTTCTCCTTTTCTCTGATCAGTCAATGAATTCTTTATCTCAAGTTGACCAAAAAGCAGTCAAGGTTTGTAAAATGTGTATTTCTGCCAAGTGAGAATCTTCTCCTCCTTTTCCTTCCTCTGGTCAGCTTCAAAATACAATTACTTGACAGACAGGTATGAGAAAGTATCCCAGATATTCAATGTGTCTGCCCCATACCATGGGCAAGTCCCAACACAAAAGACAAAACCAAAAAAGAGTAGAATTTAACATTGCCAAACAAAACCCCAAGATTCCTACATATACCATAAACCAGCAAAAATAAAAGACAAACACCACCTCATTTGGACATTATTATTAAGTGACTTGGGATTAGACATTTTGCCAAACTTATCTAAAAAACTGAGGAGTGCAGACCACTAAGGCACTAACTTTGTGCTGATTTTTTTCATTTTCTAGTGTTCTCTAGAAACTCTGCCAGTTTTCATCATTCAGCTAGCAAAAATAAAAGCCCACTGTACTCCAACTGTCCTACCAATAATAAGAAACGAAAAAGACATAAAACCGTCTGTCCTGGTTTTATTGTATCTGGGGCTACTTACTGCAAAGGAACCCTAATTCCCTTCACAATGAGGCTTGGAGGGAACAGGCTGTGAGGTGAAGGGTGGGAGACAACTGTCAGAGACTATAAAAACTTCCATCATTCTAACTGCACCTCAGTTAGGACTGAAGAACAACACGTTATCTCTGGAGCACAGAAACTTGAGTAGGAAAAACAGTTTCACTGCGGAGAAGGTAATGTTTGAACTCAGAGAAACCAGAATGAAAATGAGTTTTGCTTGATAATTTAATAACACTTTATGACCATCCACGGTTTTCAGTCTTCAACGGTTAAAGTACCAGGTTAATATATCGCATCATTTGTCCAAAACATCCCATTTCATAGGACATGTCTAACTCAAGTCACATGTATAATTATCATGCCAGGGAAAAATTGCACATTTCAGAGAGGAAATTAAACATTCAGCTCACTGGAAGTACCTTTCATGACCTTGACACTCCTGCAACTCTCTTTATAAAATACAATGAACAAAAAAAAGTCAGTAATTGAGTGAAAATGGCAGAGTGCTAAATGATGAAAAGAAAGTACTTCTGGAAGCCTAGGTAACATTACTGTGAGACCCTGGGTCACTTTGGACAAATTTCTGTCATCCATACTAGTCAAGCAGAATCAGTGGGATCATTTGCTGAATAGTATATTATCCAATATTAGAAAAAAAGCAGTACCTAGTTTCCACTTAGTCGATTATTTGTGGAGTTTTAAAAACTGTAGGCAAAAGCACAGTAGCAGCAAGAAACGCATGTATATCTACTGACTAAATTTGAAAGTAATCTTTGAGCATTTTTGCTTAAAATAAGTAAATCTCAGAAGTAACATTCTGAACTTGATAGAGCTAAGCTATGAGTGTATCTTTGTTCCAAGGCTACGATTAAGAGTTACAGAACCCCATTTCTTTACTCTCAGAGAGCTGTGTTAGGTTTCTTCTCTTTGAACATGCAAGATCTCACTGGAAAAGCCTCATGATGAGCAAGAGTATGGTTAACTGATGTTACTAGCAAATTGGGTAGGAGTCATTTGCCTGCAGAAGTGCAACGCTGATTCAACACTGCCACGTATTCAGAGACAGTACATCCTGGACTAGGCTAGTCCAGGTTCAGCATGCGGAATCACAGGCTGGAATGAGGAAGAGGTCTAGATACAGAGATGACTAAAACAGAAACCATCACAACATATTACGTGAAACTTAACAGGTCTACAAGTACACAGAATTTCAGACTGCAGTTCTGTCGTTCAAGAATCACTCATCAACAACTTTTACTTGAGGGGGCTGTATTAGAGCAAGAGAGAATGGATTAGTCTATTTCTACATAAAAAACAAATGTAACTTCTACCAGCATAAACACTCATGAGGACTCAGTAGCTCTGGAAACAGGAGACCGAGGTTCTGTTTCTAGTGATTTTCATTATTTACATGCCAACCCACGAAAACAGTGAATTTTCCTACCTAAAATCAGCACTAAAAACCTCTTCAGGAATCTTGTAGCAAGTGGCCCAGCTTGACACTTCAGTAATACCATACAGATTAAAAATACTTGTTTTGTTCTCCTTGTGCTTCCAACTTTTCAAGAGATTCAGTACAGGAAATGCTTCACCACCAAGCGCTAAGACACGAAGTGAAGTATTTGCTGACAACACTGTTGATTTAATAATGTGAGCTCCAAACCTTGTCAGAAGTGTTGGTGTTGCCTGATTGATACATATTTAAAAAAAAAAAAGATAAGAAAAAGATCTGTTATATTTTTTCAGTGTATGTGTACACTTCTTCCTGCTTTATCATATCCACTGCACAGCTATATTGTGGATGTACTTAACAATCATCTACGTATAGTAGATGGCATCAACTATCAGACACCAGTATAGATCACGCTCGTGTTTTGCAAGATTTTGTTTCTTATGTGAAGCTTTTAATAAGTACTATTGGCACCAATCTATATTCTTCTGCAGAATTTGTTCTTTACTTAGATACATTATGGGTTCCCTGTTGTGTCTCAGCCATTACCTTAAGTGTGTGCACATTAGTTCTTATGTTAATTACTTTGAAACAGAAAGCAGCAAACATAGTATTCTCTTGATGTTACTGTTTGAGCTTTTTTCCCTTCATTCCAGCATGTTCCAGCTAAAACATAACCTATACGTCTGATTAACCTGCATACAGAACATTTGAACACCTTTCCATAACACTAAAAATTCCTAGGATGCCAGATTCTGGGTTGTTCCTGATTTGTGTAAATATAACAGTTTACAAAGATTAGTTTTTCTGAAAGCTTTCACCTCACACTCTAAAATGAGCAGGGGAAAAAGAAAAGAAACAAAAAAAAGAAAAAAATCTTCCTTAAATACAACTACTTCTATAAAACTATTGGTGATGTAGAGCCCTTTCACTGAACAAAAACAGCAAATCATTTTAACAGACACACTTCACTCTCATTCTTGCCTACTTTTTTTAGTAAGAGGACTGGAAAATTAATGGAATTATTTCTTACCAGGTTTCTTCTAGTCATAGATGAAGACCATCACTTTTCAACTGATCATTTTAACTTTAGTGAATTATAGTGAAGAAAAAAGAGGGGAAAAAATTACTCTCCCCCTCCCTCATAATCACTTTCAGTGATTCATACTTCTCAATTATGCTCAAGCAAGTCAAGAGGGGAAGGGAATTTCTTGCTATAATTTAAGCAACATCATAAAATTATTCATCATCAGTTAAGCTACAAGAAGAACATTTTTGTCATTAATTCAGTTGAGAAGCCCTTCCTTCACTGATAAAGACGATCAAAAAATCACAAAATCAAACTTTTTGTAGAAAGACACTCAAATACCTTAATTGACCAAATTTTGCTTTTCTCTATTAACGCTTAACATGCTTAAAAAAATATGTATCTTAAAAAAACATACTTAAAAAATCTTGCTAATACAGATTAGTATCTCTGAAATTTTCTTCTAAAAGCAAGTGAGCTAAACTGATCAAGAAACTTCTAAATGATAGGAAAATCTACACCATCGAGATTTATAGCAATCATAATAAATAAAAATAAGAGCAGAGAATAAAGTTACAAAATATTTGTGACTAGTGGATTTTTTTCTGCTGTGGAATCTTCAGCTAACTACTCACTAATCTTAAATTTATACCCTACAATCTCAACTACCACCATTCCTCCAAAAGAAAAAGAAATCTCAGCATTTCTATGAGTGCAAATACTTCAGAATCACAACATTAATGACAAAGCAAGGCTTAGCGGCTGATTTACAACAATTAATAGACTAATCAGATCATACTAATTTTGTTCAAAGTAGGTTACAAGTGAGATGCATTTCTAGCAACTCTTCCCCGTACACCCTGATTTAAGTTTCTATACTCAATTAATAGTTTTACGAAATATGTCGTTACACTACAAGGCAAGGGCTAGGCTTATTCAGCCATGCTGGATGCTCATAATTTCAAGTAAATTTTTGAAAAATGAACTTTAAAACTATTTATTAAAATTCAGATCATATAGGAGATGATCTTTTCCAAGACATAAGGGGCACATGAAGCCTCATATAAATAGGTGGCCTGAAAACAGTAAGTGTTGCTGTGGAATCAATTATTCTCTTGCTTTCATTATTGTAAAAACGACAAACATTTTATCACCCTATAAATGGCACTGGTTTAGTTGTATTTTTAGCATAGAGACTACCATTAAAACTTAAAAGTTGTTTATGAGGAAAGGCTTTAAGATCCAGCCCATTGAAAAGTGATAAAAATGTCTGTAACAGGTTACTTCATTACCAGATTCTTCGGAACTAACTGCTTAATTAACAGAATAATTTAATTAATTCTTAAGAATTAACGGTTTCCTAGGATGAATGTTGGGTTTATCTTTAGTTCATTGTTTTCTGTCACAAAATGGTAATTTTCTAAACAGCTAACACTCTACAGCAAAAAGGATAGCATTAGCTCCTCCTTCAAGGAAGAACACTCCTGCTCAATTATCATTAGTGTCTAGACTGATGCAAAAGTAGTACACATTAGCAAAGGTGAGAAGCAAGACACTACAGACACTTATCTTAGGTGTTGCCTACCTGCAACACTGTCACATGGTGACGGTGAAATAGAGCAGCAGACAGCTCCACAGGCATCATTTTAATAGTGTTTGGTACTACAAGAACAGAGGCTCCGCTTGTCAGAGCAATGAACAATTCAACCACAGATGGGTCAAATGTTAGAGGAGAAGCCAGGAATAGCATATCATCCTGTGTGATCTCAAATATGGATCTAAAATAAGAAAGCTAGGAATTACAAATCTGATGCATGTTGTTAAAAAAATTTCCAAACGGGAAGAGCAGCATGAAAGAAATGCGCTTTAGCAAAACTAAGATCTTAAGGGCTACTCAGAATATATAGGCATATGCAGGCCAGACAATTTGAGCAAGAGCTCCTGCATCAAGACTAACTATTTATTAAACTAATTAGGTCCTTTACAAAGATATCCACCACATTACACACCAATACAGTACGTTGAAGGGCATATCTCAACTAACGGATGCTCATTTAAAAAAAAAAGGGGGGGAGGGGGGAGAATAAAAGGTGGTATTTTCCGTAATAGATTTTTTTAGAAAGAACTAAATGAAACAGAAAGAAACCCAGGTAGCCTAAAAAGGAATTAGGACTTTAAAACTACAGAATACACTAAATATAACTGTGAACGAACAATTAACTTTGTTATCTATTTCTTTTAAGCCACAACCCAGAATACAGTATTTACAGCAACAGCATATTATTTGAAGTACATCCCTCAAAAATTCAGGTGAAGCACCATTTAAACATTAAAAATAACATTTAGAGAAACAAAATTTTCTCTAATATGATGCTATTTAGAAACAATAGAAACAAACACAAAGAAACCTGAAAAGG